ATAAGCTCTCTACACTTCTTTGTCTTTCACTTGTAGCAGTCTAACCGTCATCAGGCACTTCTGGGATTAAAGAGGCAATACAATTAAAACAGTTTGTAACAACTGAGTTCCAAGTTTTTAAGTGCAAATGAGAAAAGAGCTGTCAAACACAGAGCCAAAGTCATAATGCCACAGCCAGGTATGCAGTATCTGCAGACACTGAGCCTTAAAATAAGCCTTCAAGACTTCCTTAACTTTGTGATGTCACAACAAAGCAGTCACCGCTCTCAGCCACGCCCCAAGCCCCACCCGCCTGGACCAACCGTCCAACCTTGCAGGATTTTGTTTCTCTGAGTGTTTAACCTGAAATCTGCTATATTTTTATTAGATGACTCAGAAAACAGTCAGGCCCTGAGCCTCTCCTCTGATTGGTTCACTGACGTGTTGTTATTAGAGCTCCAGAGTGAAGCCTGAGAGAGGAGATGTAAAACTACATTGAGATGGTTTTTGGTTCTTAACTTAACTAAAACGCTGGAAAAGTGTAAAATATGGAGCTTTAAGTCAGTTTTACAACTCTTTAGTTAAAATCTCTCCAGGGTTCAGTCCTCTCTGTCCTGCTGTTAATACAGACATGTATGAACCAACCAGCGTAGGTACAAATGTCCATAGGATTGTAAATCTTACTTGTGGATGAGAACCTGGAAGCTGTGGTTCTCCACAGCTGAGAAAAGACAGCTCAGTGTCTGTGTCTGTGTCTGTGTCTGCCTGAGGCCTGAGAGTCAGCAGAGATGGGAAAACAACCGTGCTGATGTTGTACATGGGACTAAAGTGCTCTATTGATTTACTGAGCAATTCCTTAATTGCCTCTGTATGCTATGAGCTGTAAAGGTAAAGGCCGCTGCTCATACAGGACTTCTCTGCTCTTATCTCTGTTTACTCTAGATTTCAGTGTTTCCTCATCGGGCTGTTTGTCTTCATGTGTGACTGACCATCGAGTCAAAAACAAATATATAGTCTACCAACAGGAAGTGGAGCTGCAGTATCAAAAATGTTAAATATGCTATTTCATCACATCACTCATCAGGAATTATCCACAGATTTTTAAGTGAAAATCTAAAATCTAAAATTTCTTTCATCTTATTTTCCGAGTGAAAATGCAACTAAAATTTCAGACGAATTACAGCATTGAAATGTATTCAAAAAATCTGAATAAACTGTAAATAAATTATATATTTCCAGAAAGCTGAATCAAACCGGGCGTATACTATCAGCTGGTATTCGCTCAGCAGATATCACTGTATATACTCGACTGTATATGTTTCCATGTCTGTCTGTGTCACGAGAGAAAGTGGATGTTGCAGATGTTGTGATTAAAAAAAAAAAGTCTTTGTGTATTCATGTAGAGGCAGTCTGGCTGCTCACATGCACCACACACTCCTGTGCACATCCCTGTTGGTGCACCGTGTGTGCTTTTGGTCTGATGTTAATTTATTCATGACCAGCGCTTTTCCCCGTCAGAGGAGATTAACTGAGCAGTGGCACAGCAGCTGATGCTTTCCTTCTTTCAAACACGTCTTCCTTCTTCTTTGTCTTTAAGCATTTGTTTTTGACACCCTGATCTGAACACATGCAGTTGAGAGCGAGCCGACGGTATCGGTGTCCGTCTTTAGGTGTTCCTGTCTGGTTCCTTGTTTCCCCTCTGGGTGGGCTAGTGCGCCTACCTGCCTATCAGTCACACACACACACACACACACACACACACATAGACGTGTACTCAGCCTTACATCAGCACAGTGCCTGCAGTCCAGCAGCAGCAGCAACGTCATCTGCCGTCATCCAATGAGGAGAGAGTGGAGCAGATGTGTTAGCCAACTGCAAGGAGATCTAATGAGGGACAGACAATGGGAAATAGTTGAAGGGGAGGGCTTCCTGATGCACACTGCATGCCTCCTATGTCTGGAGTTTGAACGTTTTAAAAAGAGACTAAAATTAGGACCAATTTGTGATTCATCCCAGGAAATGTGTATAAAAGATGATGACACACATGCGGAGTCCCTCACATTCAGCTGCGATGACATGTGAGACGAAGGACAGGGGAAAAAAAAGGAAGTGAAGAGTTTCTACGCTGTGTTTTTATCCTCCTCCATCTGTATCTCAAGTGCTGTGAGAATACTGAGACTGCAGTAGCCGAGCGGCCAATCAGATTGCAGCACTCAACAGCCAGTCAGAGGCAGGACAACACACACACACACACACACACACACACACACACACACACATACACACATACACAGGTTGCCTTTATCTGCCCATCCTCTGTTGATTTCATCACATACACAATAATGATACAGCACTTTTTCTAAGAGGCAATGCAGTGGTTCTTATTTAATCATTTCTTGATGATTGATTACAGCAGTATTGATTGATAACAGCAGTGAAATTGAGTTTTGTGTAGTTTTATCACTTTTCTTCACAACAAACTGGGTCAGACACTTCCTCCTGTTTACATTTAAGGACAGCGCCTACACTGAGAATGCTTTCCAAACCTGCTGCGGTTGATGCAGTACTACTGAGTGACCACTAGGGACTGATGTAGGACCTGGAAATTAATGACCAGACGAGTTGTGTGTGTGTGTGTGTGTGTGTGTGTGTGTGTGTGTGTGTGTGTGTGTGTGTGTGTGTTGTGTTGTGTGTGTTCTGTCTTGTCTGTCCTGTCTGTCTGTCTGTCTGTCTGTCTGTCTGTCTGTCTGTCTGTCTGTCTGTCTGTCTGTCTGTCTGTCTGTCTGTCTAACATATGTAGGTGGCTATATGACTGTGGATACTCTCATGGTGTGGTAAAATACAACGACGATATTGGCTTTGGACATGAGACTTTTTATTATTCCACAAAAGAGCTGCAATGATTATAAAATGTGACAATTTGCTGCTTTTCTTTGTCATTTTTCTGACAGCAAATTGAATATCTCAAGGGTTTAGACAAATTGAAAACATAACTGTGGGCTCTTTTCAGTGTCATTGTCTCACAATTTCATTTTTTTTCTATGGACTAAACAATGAATCGGGAAAATTAAGTGGCAGATTGATTGATAACGTGAATAATTGTTAGCTGCCGTCCTACTCCAAAACGACTCTTTGAGGACATGTTCAAAAACACATAGCAACACAAAAGAAAGACACAGAAATAAAGTTCAAGCTCAAGGCAAATGCAAACAATAATAGAAAGAATATGACTAAATAAATAAACAAAGATATTCAAAACAGCAAACAAGCATACTCAAAAGTAGTGTGACAGATTTAGGGAGATTGGGGATTGAATAATTTTGTTTAATTAATCTGTTTCGCCTACGACTGATATTGTCATGTGTGTGTGAACTATATAATAATAATATATTCATTGATTTACAGTCTTCCATAGACTTTCAGTGAAGGTGCTACTGACATATTTAAGCTGGTTTGAAAAACATATTGAGGTTTAATACCCAACCTCCTCTGGCTGAGACAGCTGCGCAGGTTCTTCAGAAATCTGCCGGTTAGTCTCTTAACATCTGTATACAGGAGGCCCAGATGTGGCCATCACATCTGTATTGCATAGGTTAATCCAAATATCAGTGTTTGTAGTTTACCACTAGAAGCTTCCATCCATCCCACAACATTCATGACCCCAGTGCATTGCTACAAATTTAGGAGCTTTAGTTGCTATGGCAACCCTCACCCCCTCCCTCCCTCCCTCTCTCTCTCTAATATCCTTTCTCTGTCTCTTTACAGATGTCATAAAACACCAAAGACGGATCATTAAACTGGTGTGTGTGTGTGTGTGTGTGTGTGTGTGTGTGTGTGTGTGTGTGTGTGTGTGTGTGTGTGTGCTGCGTGCGTGCGTGCGTGCGTGCGTGCGTGCGTGCGTGCGTGCGTGGTATGAGTGTGCGTGGTATGAGTGTGTGTATTTCATGGTTCACTCTGATGCTGTGGCGTGTTTCTCCGCCTCCTTCCTACCTGCAGTGACAAAAAGAAACAAATTCCTCTGCCTCTCTTTTACAGCTGAAACACTTAATCCATTTGTCGATCAACAAGTAAATGATCAGCAGCCATTTTTAATAATCGATCAATTTTTTTAGTCAATCATGAAGCAAAGATGTCAAACAGTTGCTCGTTTTAGCTTCTTAATTCTGACGATTTGCCGGTTTTCTCAATTTAATATCCTTGTAAATTGAAAATCTTTGGGTTTTGAACTGTTGGTCAGACAATTAATTAAAAAGATAATCGATAGATTAACAGATGATGACAATAATTGTTAGTTGCAGCCAGGGATGACCCCTGAAACCCGGATGTAAAGGACCCACACAAGGCTTGAGTTCAGTTCTCAAGCCAAGGAGGACAAACAGTTTTAGTTTTGGTTTAGTTTAAGTTAGCTAAGTCAGACTTAAGCGAGCTGACGACATTTAGGCTCGTTACTGCCAGTGCAAGTAAAAAGCTGATAAGAGTAATTCATTTCTATATCAGTTTAATTGTGTGCCTGTCCATCAGTGAATCCACAAAAGTAGTAAGTGAGATGATGATGGAGGACAGGGCTGATGAGTTATTGTGACTGTTTTCTATGTTTTGCTTTCTTTTCAAACTTCACTCAGTGTTTTAATTTCAGGAATATAATTAATTTGTGTTGTTAATTTATTTTCATAGAGATATTTTCATATTTTTATGAATCTATTCTTGCACAGTAATAAAAGGAGCTGATAGTGAGTAACATTAAAATATTTGTATCGATAACAGTATACTACCCTCCCTACTTTCTTTTATTTCGTCCTTGGAAAAATCAACTAAAATTACATGTTCACATTTCAAATGCCGTTGAATGTGACACTCTATCCGAGCGTTAGAAATCAAAAACTAAAAGTGACAGACATACACAAAAACAACATGGAGTGCTTAATGTCAGACATATTTGTTTTTTTTAATGGATCCTGTAAAAAAAACATGAACAACATGAAAACATGTCACCCAGTGCGGCAGTGTTGCTCATTGATGTGTTTTGATTTTTTTTTTTTTTTTTCAGAAAAAATGACAGTACGACCAATTCACTGTTGGTTGATCCTGCCTGTTAAATAGAGGTTAAACTGTCTCCATCCTCAGTGAATAAATACAAAAGAAAACTCTAGTTGTTTTGAGTGTGAACATTGCTAATTCTTCTATTTGTGATGCACCAGTTAAACAAAGTGGCTCCTGACCCAGTTCCATTTTTAAACTGCAATTGGTCTGATCTTCATTATCATGGTTTTCAGGGAGTATTCGAGTCCTTTGAAAGTGTTCCACTGTACACCAGCTGCACGGGGTGACGGTCCCCAGGTGTAGACCCCATTGGGGTTAGCACCAAAGCAGGCTGCGAACCAGAATCCTCCATAGGCCAGCCTGGCACAGTTTGAACTAAGTGTATCTTGATCTTTATCAGTGGTGGTGAATTTCATCCCATTGTGAAGACTGAGGGAATCTCCTAAAGGAAAAAAAGACAGAAAATACAGATACACAAATGCTTAAAAATGCTGTCACTAGAGGTGCAGTTTACTCAGGTCAGGGTTAAAGTGTCCCACCTGCTGCTCCCCCAACGAAACTTCCCAGATTTAGCTTGTATCCCTCCGACTCCGGACCAACAGAGAAGGAAGAGTACCGGGCAAACACCTTCTGCCTCTCAAAGTCCTCCATGTCCACCCTCAGCTCGTAGGTCTTAGCCTGAGTCATCAGGTGCATTGTCTCCAGGCCTGAATGAAATGAACACTAAAATTAATTTAAAAAAAAAAATTAATGGCCAACTATTTTGATGAGCAGTTAATTGTAAAAGGTTTTTTTTTCTTGCAAATATGCCAAACATTCGTTGGTTCAAGTGTGAGGATTTTCTGTGTTTCTGTACTTGATACAACTGAATACTGTATGTTTGGGGAAAAAAGTAACATCAACCAAATGTTTAATCAGTTAGTGTTAGTTGCAGCCTTCGATTTGTGACCTTGAATCTGTTAAAATGATACAATAGTGAGGGGATTTAGGTCTGCAAGCACCACACATCTGGAAACATCTGTGAGCTAATACATGGACAGTGTTCCCAGTGCTTCGAATCAGATTTACTGTAATTCAAAGAACTGCTGAGGCGAGATGCATTGATGGAGGTCTCAAAGGAGAAGTGAGAATGAGTTTTACAAAGATGTCTGGTCACTAAACTTTCTTTCATACCCAGCCAATACTCTCCAGCAGCGCTGCCAAATCCAGTTTTGTAGTGATCCCACTTCATGAAGAAGTTCACCGTGCCATCTTGTCTTTTCTGAATGACCTAGCAAATGAAGGAAAGAGAACTGTCAATGAAAGACAAATGTATTACACAAATATATATATATAGATATTCACCTCAGGAGTTGGTGGAGACCAAAAACAGAGATACAAGAAGAGTGGATATTGGGTTTAAATTCATTATTTGCATATAAATGTTAATGTTGCTCCTTGTCTTATGACTAGTCTTGGGCCAATAATATCAAATATCATGAAATTTCCAGTCATTTTTCATAATATGGGGATTTTTCAGTTCTGCCCCTTCATTTCACTACTTTGCTTACTGTACATTGTACTTGTGACAAATAGAACTGAACTGCTGTTTAGTGGCAGCATTGTTTATGGATGAAACATAAAATACTGTAATAATAATAATACCTTATATTGCAATATTTGGGCTTGACTGTATTGAGATATTAAAATTTTGAATGTCACCCAAGCCTACTTTTTCAGTGACATATTACCACTTTGTAAGGTGGTGATATGTTATCCACTGTCCCCCAGTGGTCAGAAAAGTCAAATAATACTTCTTTAATTCTAAAAGAACATGTCTTCCTGGTCATCTTTAATAAAATCAGTGAATCCTGGACATTTAAAATGTTGACACTGCTCCATTTAACAATGTCCTTGTGTCAAATACAACAATTTAAGTCAGGATCTATTGAAGCTAGGGCTACAACTAATGATTACTTTTATTAGCTATTAATCTGCCAATTATTTTCTCGGTTAATTGATTAGTCGTTTGGTGGATGTCTTCAAATGTCTTGTTTTGTCCAATAATCCAAAAATATTGAGTTTATTAAGATAGAAGACTACGAAAACTAGAAAACACATTTAAGAATTATTTTCTGTCGATTGACTGAATTAATGAACTAATTGCGGCAGTGAAATGAGTGGAAGAATTCTGGCCAAATCTCTTCACTACTGCTGCAGATTGGGAAGCTGTTTTCTCTAGATCAGAATGGGCTAAGACCCGTGTGTCTGAGGTTCTGATAAAGACGGATGAACCAGGTCCTCACAGTCCACTTCTCTGCAGAGCTGCCAGTGTCATCTTTGCTCATGTCACAGTAAACCTGCACGGGAGAGGTCGGGCCTGCTGGATAGATGGTGTACACCCCGTCCAGGCCTGAACCGGCTTTGTAGATGTCACTACAGTCTGTGGGCAGCAGAGACTGATAAGCTGCTACCGGCAGCAGCACTGAGAGCACAACCCTGAGCTGCAGCAAAGAGAAAAACAAAAAACGTCAAGACACATGCATGTACAACACCCTGCACAATACTTTCTCATATCAAGTTTAAATAGCATTTGTTCTCAATATAAAAGTTGTTCATCTGATTTCATGAATGCATGAATATTATATTCAAGCACTAAAAGCAGCACTGAATATCTTTATGTACCATCTCCTACGAGCACGTCTGACAGACACTGAGTGATTTGATGGATTCAGTGTTAAGCTCAAGGACGCTTTAACAGGACAAGTGGCTGTTGCCTGGATTGACCCTGTAATCTGCTGCGGTCATGAGCCAGGCTCTGGTACCACTGTGTTTGATAGTCCGACGTTCTTTCTTGGTTTATCAGGAGGCGATGAATAGATCTGTCCTTTGTCTATTTTTAGACCCTCTGGTTATAAGTGGTTAAGTACTGTAGTAGACTCAGATCTGCGCTCATGCTGTGTTGATCGGGTTACTTTGCATTTCAAAGAAGGGAGTTGCAGGAATGTAATTTAATGATCTGAGTCATTATGATCTCCATTCTAAGACCGTCTGAGAGGAGTTTTAAATGGGGAATTTTACAGATTTTATACTGTATTGTTGTAGTTCTTCTTTCTTTTATTATTTCAAGTAGCAATAGTATTTTATAAGTTTTGACTCTGTTTGTTTGGATAATTTCTAAAAAGCAAGGTTTCACGTCTTGACGTTTTTCACAACGCTAAGGTAGTGAAAGGTGCGTGCTATGATTTCCCAAGATGATGTATTCAGATTGCTATATAGTAGCAATAATAATAGTCCAAAATCATAAAATAATCAGTTGACTATAAGACATGACAAAAAAAAGCATCAAATCATCACATTTGAGAAGCTTTAACCAGCATAATGTTACAAGTTTTGACTGAAAATGATCAATGAATTATCAAAATAGCTGCTGATTCATTTTCTGATTGATTAATTGATCTTTGGAGTGAAGCTGGTTAAATGTGCTTTATCCTGCAATGAGATAGTTTAGGCCGAGATAATCAGACTATGTTATTACGTTACAAACCATCATTCTGTAATCGGCTTGGCTGTCCTGTGGTTCTCCTGCAATGATAGCAAACACAGTTTTTGCAGTTCACAGTGTCTATAAAGCTCATTAAAATACGAGCGGTTTAAAGTTTGACAAGGCCATGTTTGAACTTACCAGAGAGAGAAGGGTTCACACCAAGATGTGTTTTAAGCAGATGCTTTTATATCCGTGCAAATCTGCCTGTTGCGGCACCCAGTATTCCCCTCATGTAGAAAGAAATGTATTACCAACCCTAAGTAACCCTACTTTCTGTGTTTACTTCTCTCTTAGCAGCCAGTGTGAGTACAGCAAACATACCACAACCCTTATGTTAGCATTTCTAAACAGTCCTTCTTTTAGTTTGTTATTATGTCATTTTAAAATAACCTCTGTTCATGGAAAGTCCCACAGAGTGATTCATATCACTCCATGTAGGTTCAGTGAGGTTTTTCACTTCATTTATTTCATTAGGCGTTATTTGAAATAGTCTAAATCAGTGGTTCCCAAACTTTCCCAACTCATGGCCCACCTCAAAATCAAATGCTGACGACACACATCCGACCTCATTGACTCCAGTGACAGGCCTTAATACGAGAAATAAATACAATCAAATGAGTTTTAAAAAAGAAAAAAAAAAAAGTTAGTCTACTCTAATCTAGTTTTAAAAAGATTATTAATTTGTTATTTGTGTTTATTTTTGCTTTGCATGTTTTACATCTTTTCACCAAAATGATGCTGCTTTGCAAATGATTTGTCGGCCCACTTTGAAACAGCTTTGCGACCCGGCCCACAGGTTGGGAACCACTGGTCTAAATCATTTGGTTTGCTGTTATTCTGTGCATAGTTTGACACTAAACCTCAAAGTAGGAGGTTTTTCACTACTTTCCTTTTCAAAAGCGACCCATGTACAGCTGCATCTAACATTTACTTTCACTACCAGTAACTCTGCTGGTTATATTTTCAATTAATCGATAAATTATTTTGTGTATAAATTGTCATTACAAGGTGATGGCTTTTTCTGCCCAACGACCAGACAAAGAGATTCAGTTTGAGAAGCTGGAGCCAGTTGTGTTGATTGACTAATCGATTAATTGACTAATCGTTGTGTTGTTTTAGCCCTCATGTTTTCTGATCAACCACTGCTGTGGTTATGTTATACTCAAAGCTGCATTAATTGATTTTTATTGGTCACTTTGAGGCAGCTGAACAAGCTGAAAACTCAGCTTTGACCAGCTCACCACTGAGGTTAGACTCTCATTGGTTAGATTCTGACTGACAAGTTAACCTCTGCTATCTGCCTCTTTAATACCTGAGGAACCGTCCAAATCCTGCTAATCTGTCTGCCGGGCTCTGGGCCCCGAAGCCTCATGTGTCTGTCTGAATAACTCAGGCTAGTTTAAGTAACTAATTGTCTCTGCGATGAAGACAGAAACCTGAAGAGAACAGGTTGATCATATTGTCTTCCACAGTATGGCGTGGTTACATTAGTGCGTCCACAGAGCAGATAAGGAGGAAGTCCTTTCCTGCTGGAGATTATTTTTGGTGCAGTGGCTTCTGTGTTTGCCATGCAACCACCCGCTGAGCTCAATGGAGGTAGATATGGTAAGTCAGACAGGCCTGAAGCACGTGTCGTGCACCCACAGCTGGATATATGTTTTGCATTTTAAGACGAAACTAATGATTATTTTCAATTATTATTAGTCTTTTTTTTTTTTTTATAAGTGCAGTGAAGCTATGCAGATACGTTCATGTTTTGCTCTTTGAACTGGTCAGATTTTTTTTTTTTTTTACTGCAATGAAATTGTCTATTACAAGTAAAAGTCCCTCATTCAAAATTATACTAGAATATGTTTATTAAAATATTGAAATTAAAAGTGCTGGTTCAGCAGAAACCTGGCCCCTGTGCTGGTATATTATTATACTTAACATTATTAGATTTTTAATATTGATCAAGAGCAGGTCTGACTTGTTGACATTTGTTTTAACATGTAAATTGTTTTAATAACAATAAATACATATATAAACCTTGAGGGTTGTGAGGTGTGAGGTAAGTTCTGCAACACTAATCTGTATTCATTTTTTGATAATGATAATCATTTTAACAAGAATTTGGGATGTTTGAGCATCGTACACATCTTTGAGGCTTAAGAGAAAAATGCCTTTTTGGTAGAACTGCTAACAACTTGTAGACATCTGAAACGTGATAAATGACCTAAACAACCTGCTGCTTTTTTTGTCAGTTGTCCTGACGTAAAAAGGTTGGAAACCACTGGATTGGTTGGTTGCAGCAGCTTTTCATAAATCTTTAAATCCAAAAGTTTGAACACTGAGTCTTATTACCGAAACCCTAGTGATTTACTGAATCAGGTTGCACCTTTAAAACTTTTAATGTCTTTGCTAATAAAGACGTTAGTCATGTGTAAATCAGTTGCCATGAAACTAGAGCGCTGTCCACAGCAGTGAACTATGTAAACAAGAAGTCACTGCAGCATTGCAAGCTAATACAACTTTGAAAAATGACGGTTTCAGATGTTCACACGATATATCTGTTGTAAATGTAGGTATTATGTCTGCATACATGGAAAAATGTGTGTTTCACAGTTAGTAGTGGTCACATAGTTAAGAATGAGAGGGAAATATCCAATGATTCTAACCTAACTCACATCATTTACTCATTTAATCAGTGGTTATTGGCATAATTGATGTAATTCAGTAATTTGAGGTATGTTGTGTTTTTTCTGTGTGATGTAATTTTTTTTAAAAAATACAAGATTTACATCATTGTTAAACAGCATTAATCAAGTTTCAGGTCGGATGTGTCAGTTTTTTTACGTGTAATCCCATTTTCTCGTCACTCTAAAGGGGGCGTATATTAGCAAGCTAATATATACAGTGGAAGACGAGCAACCACTGGTGTGCAAGCTGATGGGGATCCACATAAAGAGATAAAGAAATGAAGCTACTTCTGGCAGTGGTTTTAAATATGTAGTGACAACTAATCTCTAGTTTGTTTGTAGCAACCTGTTTCAATGTAGTCGTGTGTAGAACTCTGCTTTAGTAAACACTTAACCAGTAACCAGTAACTTCAGCTGTCAGATAAAATGTAATTGAGTAAAAAGTCCTAATATTTCCCCGTCAAATAAGATAAAGTTGCATAAACATGGAAGAAATTTTTCATTTTCATATTCTGTTTTTAACAAGTGACCGTCGGTCTGTGCGCACACTCGCACACACTCACACACACTTGCACTCTCATTGTCCTCTGATCCCGTGTTGTTCCAGTGAGAGTTGGTTTGAGATTAACGCCGGAACTCTTCACCCCCCCCCCCTCCCCTCCTCCTCCTCACCCACCCTCCCTCATTCTCTCCCATCCTCCTCCTCCTCCTCCTCCTCCTCCTCCTCTTCCATGCTCTGGACTTTCTCACTGAGAGCCAGGTATTTTTAGCTGTGACATAATGCCCCTATCTCTCTCTCTTTCTCTCTCTCTCTCCCTCACTCTCTCTCTTTCACTCACAGTCTTCCACTCTTTCCCTCACCCTCCCTCCCTCTCACACAGACCCGTCCCTCCCCCTCTGCTCTCCCTCTCCTCTCTTGCCCCTCATCCCTCTCTCTCCCTAGCTGCCAGGCTAGGGCTAGCTGCTACAGTAATTGAGTGCTCAGGTTTCACACTTTGAGCTGCAGGCTGAGAAACATGGCAGTGGAGGAGGCATCAGACTATTTGGCAGAAGTAAGTCTTTACTGTACTTTAACTCTGAAGTCACTGAGCTCACTGACTGTAAACAGACTTCACCTCCTCTCTCCTGCTGCACTGCATTAATGCTAACAGGATTGGGGAATTTATAGCTGTGAGGACTTAGTGATGTTGTGGCGGTGACCGGTCCAGAGACGGGACTTTGTCAGATGAGGTGTGAGGTTATAGGCTCGTGGATGGGACGGGTCGCAGTGGCACCTCTGCTGCACCACTCTGCTGCAGTGTGCGTGTATATGTGTGTGTGTGTGTGTGTGTGTGTGTGAGGGTATATATGCCTGTGTGTGTTTTCATTTCCCAGCTGCTTCCCTGTCACTGTGTGTATTGTACATTTATAAATTCTGGCAGATTATAAACATAAGAGCCTGTGCATACAGTGTTGTGTGGATACAGTTTCATGTTGCAGTGATGTGAATGGAAGCACCTGACCTTGGACAGTGGCGCATGCTCTGTGTGTTTGTAGAAAAGGCGAATAAAAGGGCAAAAAGAGCTGAGAAATTCAAAAACAGAGGAAAAGAAATCACCGTTTTAAATTAGTTAATTTTCTCAAATCCACTTTGTGAGGTAGCCCTTCATGAGTAATAAGGAAAAGTCTCCCTCAACCTGGTGATATGTGATATACTGTCTGCAGAATGTGCTTTCTTAGCTCATCATTAGAGCCCAAGCAGCAGTTTAATGGTCGTTAAAGATATGAGCTGAGATTCTGCAACATTTGTCTGAGCTGCAAAGAAAACCAAATAAATCTAACGTACTGTGTTAACAACAATATTGTTTGGCTTTGAAAAGTCTTTGAGTAAAGGGGTGTTTCTGTTGAACATTACTCAGCTGCTGTTATGTTTGAGTAACCCTCTCTGGTCCCTCGGAGTCGTCGGCGGTCGCAGGGGGCAGCTGCCATGCTGGAATGTGTCTGACTGTATGTGTGTGTGTGTGTGTGTGTGTGTGAGTGTGTGTGTGAGGCAGCGTGTTGTGGAAAAAGAGCGACTGTAGCATTCTTTGCATATCTCTCGTGGATAAATAAAGGTTACACTGGAGTGACACTCAGCCGACGCTAAACGAGACCTCCACCATGCTCCTGCGTTTGACTTAAATTACACTTCAGTTTGAGGTTGAATGTGGAGTTTATATAATATCTATGTTCATTTTGTTACCAACAAAATCATTAAAATTTTAGTTGGCCGAAAATCTTGCGTGTCCACCAAATTTCATGCAGATCTGACCGTGTTTTTTGAACCATCTTTAAACAGATTACAGGAGACTAAATATAATCAAACTCCCTTAGAAAAACTGTGTGAATTTGTGGTGTTTTTTTGGTTTTGTTTGTTTGTTTTTTTTTATTACAAACTCCAGTCCTTTCCACATATTTTCAGATCCAAAGCCTTTTTGCTATGTGCTATTAGGACTAGAGCTGCAACTAAGGATTATTTTCCTTATTGATTAATCCTCAGATTATTTTCTTCACTGATCGCTTAATTGCTTGGTCTACAAAAAAACATCAGAAGTTTGTGCAAAACCCAGTTTAATGTCCTCAAATGGCTTGTGTGGCTCGCAAGCAATAAGCTACAACCCGTGAATGTTTGAAAGATTCACTTGGGCTAAAAGATTTATTGGTTATCAGTCATGGTTGCTGATACATTTTTCTGTTGCTCATCTAATTAAGTGCTTCAGCTCTAATGTGGACACAGAAATAGTGACAACTGCATTCCTGCTGGTCGCACCCACCCATGTGGCTCAGCAACCTGAGAGGCAAGAGGGTGAAAACAGTGGAAGCTGATGGCGTGCACATACATGAACTGCTGTTACTCAACAGCTTCCTTACACTCAAGCAATCCAGCAGCATTTGCTGTCTTTACCTGCTCATATCATAATGTTTTCTTTTCTCACTGTTTTTTGAAATTATGCGGCAAAACCAAACAGTACACAGACAGTCATGTAGTCATCCACGCAGGCCTGTAAATACGGTGGTGCTGTTGTAAAGCACTGAAGATCCGTGACCCTCCTTGCATGTGTAAAGGGATCCAGTACAAACGTTTAGATTTTCACTTCCCTTGATTTCATTGTTCCTTTCAGTCACTGAACACACTCCATAGCTGTGACATCAGTCTCTGTATTTGTATTGTAAATGCAGTCAGACACTTACCGTCCAAGAATCATGGAATTATTTATGAACAGTTCAAATTACAAAGATTGACAAAGACACAGAGACATTGACAGCTCTGTCTGTAATGTAATGAAAACCTAAAGTTGTGGTTACAAAACTAGGAAATAGTCTTTGCACTCTTTGGCCAGAGCACTTTCTAAGAGGGTGAGGCTTTGAACAGCAGATTCTGATAATGCCCTGAATTATGAGCAGCCAAGCCCGGTGCCACGTTTAACTTAAAAGGCCTGGCATTGTGCCTTACAACCCTTCTCAGGGTTTAAAAAAAAACCTCCTCAGCACACTGCCTCTCGGGTATAAAACAGTGGCAGGAACGATTCTCACTGGACGTTTTATTGTGAAAAAGGAACTTGAATTTGAGGGGATTTACATTAACACAGCTCATGGAGGCAATTAAGGTACTTTAAGGAGTGACAGTCGTAACATGAAACACGTATTTTTAGATCCAGTGTGATTTACACTTCCCAGGATATCGTCATCTCCTTCCAAGAATATGCTTAGAAATCACAGAGAAAAGACATTCTGTAAAACTGCAGAACTCGCCTGAGAATCATCATGTTTTTAAATTGTCTTCAGTATCATAGTAATCCACTGATATATTTCTGTACACCCATGAGTGCATTGCAAACAGGAACTGTTAATAGCTAATTCGGCATACTTATTATGGTGCCAGTTTGCAAAATGTAAACAAATATATAAGTTGAAAAGGGGGGGCTAGATGTTGGCCAGTTAGCATTTTAAGTGTTTGTTAATGTACAGTATTTGTCAACATTTATAACTTCTACTATAAAGATGTTTTATACAAGTAAATCTATATTTTATTATATCATCACTCATTATCTACTCATACAGCAGCTTCACTCGTGTGCCCACAGGAAGAGTTACAGTTGTTGACAAATACATGATTAAACCATTATATCCCCTTTTCAACTACATTATAATTATAAACGATGTTTTTATATTGCTTTAAAATGCTAAATAGTGTCACCGATAATAGCAGTACTGTTAATGATAAACTGTATTCGAGAGATTTGTAGCAGCCTGTGTGTCTTCTCTGTGTCATGACCGCGCTTGGCGCCCGGTAAACCCCCTACTCTCTGCCCCACTGACTGGATGCTGACACTCGAAACACACTGTGTGTTTGTGTATGTGTGATGATGAACTCCGATAACATCCTTTCACTGAGTGGGAAATGAGCTCAGCGATCAGCTTTAGCCAACAGTCCGTCTACAATAACAAAGGCTGTGGTGCGGCGAGCACGATATTACACAAGACGAGTCGTTAAATGCCACAGAAGCATAAATTACTCTCAGTTTTCTCTTCTCTTTACTTTGAAGCATGGAGCGTTCAGTTCAGGCATAAACAAATACCTGATCCGCAGATGACAACCACTGAATCCAACTCAAGTCAATGAATGTACACACAATATAACTAACTACTACTTATATGCTACCATAGATAGCATTTCACAGTAGGCTTTAATAGCTTTTGACACCAGTGTTAATCTAAAATACTGACTTTATGAATGTATATATATATATATATATATATATTAATAAAAAATAATAATTTTCTTACCCAAAAATTCAGAGGACTTATGAATTTTTCAGCTCTGAGTAGTGTTTGCATTTTTCCTCAGCTGCAGACTGCCCCGACACCTTCCACTGAGAAGGTACAGCAATTTGTATAAGAGGCAAAATCCAAAAAAAAAACAAACAAACCCTTGGACTCTTCTTTCAGCATTTACAGATATTGTATATTGACTTGAGGACCCAGAGGTTGACGTTGAGCAAGAGTTATGTAGTCTTGCATAAAAGCTGTTGTATTACTATCTGGTCATTTGATGGTGATGATAATAATAATAATGACCTCGTAGTAGATATGAGCATCAACTTGTAGACCCTAAAAACATAAATTCTGTCAGTGATGCTTGAACAGGATTGTAGTTTGGTGAACTCACTTGTCCTGGATTTCATGAAGTTAATGTTTGTTCAGTATCCTGCATCAAACACAGAGTTTGCTTGTGAGAGTGAGTTTGTGAATGAGCCCAGATGCAGAACTAAGAGTACACTACCTCTGATATTACAGTGTCGGCCTGTTAGAGCCTTTTGTGTGGGTGTGTGTGTGTGTGTGTGTGTGCGTGCGCTCTTTCTAGCACAGGGTAATTGCAGGGTAATTGCTGAGTGCTAATCCTGTGTGGGTTATCTGTTTGACCACATGGGTGAGGCAGACTGTAGCACTGCACTGCAATCATGAAATCGGAGACACACACCGACTACCTGCCTTCCTGTCTGTTCGTCATCCCCGTGTTTTTCAAGCCTTTGGTTCCTCTCCACGTTTCAGTCCGTCCTTCTGCTTCAACGATCCTCCTCCCGATGCTCAATTTCTACAAACCCCCCCCTTCCCCCCCTGCATGCACCCACTCCTACGCCGCTCTGCCACACCCTGAGATCCTCACACGGATGCACACACACAGCATATTTAGTTCCCTCTTGCAAAAATCTTCAGCTCAGCTTGATAAACTGCAGGTTAACTATAAAATGACTCTGCTGCTGCTGCTGCTCCTCCCCTGAGAAAGACACTCAGTCATGAAGGCCGGTGCATGCAGGAGATGTTAGGAGTGGACGTGTGTGTTCATCCTTATTACTCTATTTCAGGTTCACTTTCTTACTAAATTCTTACTGTCTAGTCACCATAGTTCAGATGAGACTAGCTTTTTTTTTTCTTTTTTTTTTTAGAGCTGCAATGATTTTACAATGAATCGAAAATTAATGTTCAACTGTTTTGGTAAATGGTTTGTTGGTTAATCTTGGTTTTTAATAAATTATATATATAAAAATGTTGGTTTCAGCTTCTCAAATGTGAATATTATCTGGTTTCTTTAGTCTTGTAATGAGAGTAAACCGAAACATATAATTGAATCTGTGTTTTTAGTTAGGGTTAATAGAGTCTGAGCTCCTTGTTGTGAAGATACTAATACAACATCATCTGTCATCTCAAGGAAACTAAAGATGATTTTAAGTAGGCAAAGGTTTACTTGTTTGCTAGATTGTTTTGAATGTAACTAATGCAAATTGAAAAAAAAACATATATAGGAAAATGACTAAGCTCTTTTCTCATTTTCTGTTACTGCACTTTATTTTTACTTTATTTATGTATTTTAAATTGTTATTTGTCGATGTTTTTCCTCTTGTATTGACACTTATCCTATAACGTTGTTTGCTGAAGACAAATATCATTTTCCACAATATAGCTCCCGCCCACCCTCCACTGAAACCAAACCTTCGCTCTTGCTACATTTTATATTTTCCTCTGAATATGCGGATGCCTTTCTGACTTGTAGCTTAATGCAGAGATCTCATTGTATCTACACTGTATATAAATATATATAATCACATGTTGACAGCAGACAAACCTTATCGAACAGTAAATCCCTTGGTTGTGGGCTTGGATTTGGCAGGATGGTTACTCTTGGCTCAGTGTTTTAACAGGCAGACATGTTGAACACAGTGTATCCTCACTTTCTTTTACCCTCAAACCTCCTAGTTGAAATGTGTTTTTTTTATTTATTTTTTTTTTATTTTGGCTCTCATTCAGCTTCTGTGAGCTCTCAAAGGTTTTCCCGAACAAACTTTACCCTGTTTCTTCAGCTAATAACATACAAGCCTTGAGGGATTTATTCAACTTATCTCTCGTTGCAGGGATTCGTAGGGAGGCTATGACACATAAATAATAGCTTCTGACTAATGCTGCAAATATTGGCGCCGTATTTGCAAAATAATAAATAGCCTGGAAGAAGTTATTAAAAATATGTAATTGCTGTTTTTAAATAACTCTATGCTTATTTGCACAAAGACGCAGTCAAAGCTTCACTGTTTTGGAATATATATTTTCTATGTTTTTAATGACATTTGGAAATATTCTTTATATATTCATTCATTTTAAAGACCACCAGGTTTCATTTTCATGTACCTGCAGTAATGTTTCTCATCTGCATGTTGTGTTATTCAGGTGAAGATAAACAAACCTGTTCCTCTCTGTGTTTCCCTGCAGACGGACGTAAACGCCTGTTATCTGCGAGCAGCTCGGGCCGGGAACCTAGAGAAAGCTCTGGACTACCTGAAGAATGGAGTCGACATCAACATTTGCAATCAGGTGAGTTCGGTAACAAGAGTGTACTTCCAATTCCAACTCTGCTTTTGCGTTTCGGTTTACAGTGATGAATAATTTGGGCTTGCGCTCGGTGATAGTAATCTGATTTTGTGCTCTCTCAGTAAAGTCTGTAGAGATCCTCAGAATATGACTAAATATAGTCGCTTCCTTGTTACACTATTGCCCTTGTTGAAGCTCCAAGCTCAGCCAAAGCTGGAGTTTTATGGCTGGCTAAATTATTTTATGATGCTAGCAGCATGGCTGAATGGATGACAGTGTCAGAGGGGCCACCACTTTTAGTCCAGACTGAAATATCTCAACAACTATTAGACGGATTCCCTTTAAATTTTGTAGAGACATTCGTGGTCCACGGAGGATGAGTCTTAATCACTATGATCATATACTGACTTTTCCATTTCCACTAGTGGCACCATGAGGTTGATTTGACTTTTGAGCAGCCATGATGTCTCCCAAGTTCATTTGGTGTTGAAACCTTTTAATACTTTAAAGGACAAGGCTATTCCGTTTTCTTCTTCTGGTCAACAATTAAAAAAAAACAAACACTTCTTTCTCTTCTTCACTCCTTGGTGCGATACAGCTCACTGTTGCATTGGGTGACGTGAACCTTCATTACCATGATCACACACGCTGTAGTTACAGTTTTTTTGGAGTTTACTTTGACTCAATCCCACATGAACTTAATCTGTGCTAATCCACTGCAGAAACTAGTCTCGGAAAAATGTTTTAGGAAAGTGCATATGTTTTGTAAAAAGCTAAAGCTAAAGAAACCTTTTAAAGATGTTTGTCTTCAGGTTGAATGAATGAGCCACAGACACAGAGTATTGAGAGGGTTTGGTTTAATACTTAAATAAATAGTTTCATTACCAAGTTAGTTCTGTTTGTGTTGGTTTTTTTTAGACCTGATAATGTTCAGTGTTACTAAGTAAGAGTATAAAACATTCAGACCGAGTCCTCGGCTGTTTAAAGAAAGGGTACATTATCTACAGGATTAAATCTCTCCCCTTCTCTTCATTTTAAAAGTGCTTCCCCTCTCTCTCTCTCTCTCTCTCTCTCTCTCTCGCTCGCTCTCTCCCTCCCTGTCCAGAATGGTCGTAACGCTCTCCATCTGGCCTCGAAGGAGGGCCATGTGGAAGTGGTGGCTGAGCTCATCAAGCAGGGCGCCAATGTGGACGCAGCTACCAAGGTGTGTGCCACCCAGGAGTCACACAAACACACACACACACACATACACACACACACACACACACACACACAATCACACACTCGGTCTATGCATGAATTCACACAAACACACACACACACTGTGGTTTGCTGCATCAGCTCCTTCTCAAAGTCACATTGCTTAAGCAACAGTAAAGGAGATAAATGGCCGTGTGTGCGCGCGCGTGTGTGTGTGTGTGTGTGTGTGTGTGTGTGTGTGTGTGTGTGTTAGCAGGGAGGCTGAGTGAACTGATTTAGTGAACGGACCTAACCTGTGTGTTTCCAGACATAAATGTGTCTTTGCTGGGTGGTGTATTTGAATTATGTGAGCTGGTAGTGATGAACACTTATATGCAAAGTTTGGCAAATCACATATTTAGGTGAATACTTTTTAAAAGTAAATAGAAGTAAAAAAAAAAAAAAAAAATGCCCTAAATAGGCATTAAAAACTGGTCCTATTTCAAATGTTAATGCACTGTTTTCGTGAACTTAAAAAATAAAAAAAAATAAAAATAGATAATCAGTAATTGTGGCATGTGCAATAGTTTGGGCACCGTACTAAGTCTAGTAAGTTTCTTACTAGTAAGTTCACCACATCAACTTTACAGGGTGAGAATACATCAGTGTAAATCATGAATGCAGGTTAAAGTGCACGTGAACACAGATTATTAGGGAATCAGAGGTGGAAGCCCCTGTTTGTGCACTCCTGCTGCACATTTACTCCATCCACGAGAGGATTAGTGTAAATTATGTTCAGTCAACCATTTATTCATTATTACATTCAGTATAGTTACATATCTTTACATGAATTTGTGCTTTCCTGTTCTCTTGCAATGCGGCCTTAAGGCAAGGTCAAGTGAAGTGAGTTGCAGCTGCAGTAGAGGAGGTGAAGCACGAGAGGAAAAGGAGATACAGCAGTTCAGACTGAGGAATGAGGGGAGGTGTTTATGTGGAGGTTCCAGTGGCAGCAGGAATTACAACACGGCAACAGCTGCTGCTTCCTATAGCTGACACACATACAACAGGTGTCTCCATGACGGGCTCCGTACATGCGACTCGCCCTCATACAAACTCTACCTCACTTTTTTAATAGTCTACATTATACTTTTTTTCTTTCTGCATGTCCCCACCACTGTCTCCGCCTCTTTATCTTCTCTGTTTCCGTCACTCTGTCACCGCCATACGAAGGCAGACAGTTTTATAAACAATAATTTTAAAATACAGCACATATGCTTCATGCTGGTAGGACTCAGACATAAAGGACTGCAAGGTGTTGCTTACAGAGCATCTTTCTCACTAGGTTTGGCAACTGTTCAGACTTTATCGTCAGATCAACTCCTCTCCGTTGAGGAGAGTTGCCAATATTTCGCAGTCAGTGTGCTCTCACGTTTTGGTTTTGTGGACTGACTGCGTTCAGTGAGTCAGGCAGAGCGGCAGCATGTTCGGTCGGTCAGTCGGCAGCCAGACAAAAGCGCAAATGAGCTGTGAACATGTGCAGCCAACAACCAGTCACTGATCCTCACTCTGTGTCCGGGGGGGGGGGGCTGCTTCACCTTTTGTTTTTCTTCTGATGATTTGACTCGACCACCGAAGATTTATTTTCATTCCAGGGTCTGAAAGCTCTCCATTCACAACACTTTGTCTTTAGAGGTAGATTTAAATTCATATTGATTAGATATCAGCTTGAAAAAACAGTAAAAGCTAATGAAAAAACTATTTACATTTGAATACATTCGTCAACTTGTGTATTCCATAAGTTTGAAAATATTATTATATATTATTATTATTAATTAGTATTATTAATATTATTATATTATTGTTTGTTCTGTGTGTTTAATTGTTATTTACTGTCACTGAAATTGAGAGTAAGAAAGAATTGAAACCTATCACTAAAGACATGTAACTGAGTAACATGGGCAGACGTTCAGGCATCACACAGCCGCATTAAAAACATGACATTAAGATAAAGACAGCAGCGTTTTAAAATGGGGGGGGATATAAATTAGAGCCATGATGTGCTGTACAGCCTGAAAGTAAAACCCTAAACTAACTGAAAATAAGATTATGTAAAACATTTCCTTTGTGCAGCTGATGAAGAAAAGCAACATTTTCAGACCTAAACCCAGACAGACAGAGTGTCAGAGTGTCAGACTGACGGACGGACTGTTTTACTGATAAAGTCATTAAGTACATAAAAAGAATTCAAATGTTTTTCATGTTATTTCACAACAGAAAGGAAACACAGCGCTCCACATAGCTTCTCTTGCCGGGCAGACGGAGGTGGTGAAGGAGCTCGTCACCCACGGAGCCAACGTCAATGCACAGTCTCAGGTAACACACACACACACCCACGCATGCACACACACACACACACACACACACACACACACGCACATAGAGCTGTTGAATTGTGAAATCATCTTTGCGGGAAATCCATGTTTGAGTGTGTGCATTCATGCAGATGAATGTCTACGCAACTACTATACACAGTGTCCATCTGTGTGTGTGTGTGTGTGTGTGTGTGTGTGTGTGTGTGTGTGTGTGTGTGTGTGTGTGTGTGTGTGCTGTGTCAGCAGCTCTGCAGTGTTGCCTGGCCCACATTCAGTAGTCGACACACACACAAACTCATACACACACACACACACACACACACACTGGCCTGGTTACCACAGCAACCATAACAGAGTCAGTGTTAAAATCTTGGCTGCAGCTGTAAAGAGGAGGAAAATTAATTTGCTATTGATGGGGCTATGACCTTCAGTGCTGAACTGAATCATTAGGTTTTATTTATTTATTTTTATTTATTTATTTTTTAAAGCATAATTTAGAGTAGAGTGGCCTATTGAAAGCACAGAGCGGGGACGGCTGATATCCTGCACTTGACAAGTTTTCAATAGAATGTACTGTATATATTCAGTGGTCACTTTATTAGGTACAATCTAATGCAATCCATTACTACTGTTCTGCTCTACAGTCTACTATTATGATGCATATAATGACACTGTCATAAAGCCATTAATGCACTTACACTGAATGTTGTACTCTGTGTTTCAGCAGCGTGGTCATAGTTAGAGGTGGACTGCATGATCGCAATGTGTTTCTAATATTCTGTCCTCCTCATGTTTGTAAATAGGGAAGACAAAAACATTAGTGCAGTACCAGTACAACACCACATTTAACCATGACCTCAGTAGTGAACATATGATTGAATTCACTCATTTCTGACAAAAAAAATAAAAAAAATAAAATAATATTGTAAACTTTGTAAAGGTAGAGCTTTTTTATTGGATCACTGTATCGATGTTGAGAGGAGGAGTGTGTTTACAATGTTGTTACAATAAGTGTTTCTCCAGTAGTCTGCTCAGTGGGCACCTTATCAGGTACACCTATACAACAACTCTGACACAGCATTAATCTGTATGGTGTTTATAATGTTCAGTTATTGTTGACATTGTCGGAAATGAGAAAGAATTCAGTAGTGGAGAATATATAGTGAAGTTTTTGTACATACATGAGGGGGACAGAGTATCAGAAACACCTCTGAAGATGATGCAGTCCAGTACAAACAGTACCACTAACTACAATGCTTTCATATAATTGAATTAACACATGAATGGCTGTAAATTGCACTGTGTCCTTGGTCATAGCTGCATTTTGACTGTGAAACGTATTAGAGCAGCGGCACAGCAATAAATACAAAGACGAGTGGAGGAGGAGCAAGAGGAGATTTTTTGCATGCTGATGTCATTTTTGGATTCTTGTGTTGCTATGGAGATCAGTTTTCTTTGCCCTCCCCCCCCCACACACACACACACACTCTCACACACACACACACACACACACACACACACACACACACTCACACTAAGAGACACACATATATTCCTCTTCAGCTCCAGCTCCAGATCAGCTTTTATCTGTGCTGTTATCAGGTGTGAGGTATGTACAGAGGTGACAGTATGTTCAGTTGTAGAGGTCAGAAAAACAAAAAACACCCCTGCCTTGAAGTAGGAGAGGATGATAAAATCTTACCAATATATCATGACAAAGCAAATTTTCTTGAAATTCCATTAAGCAACTATGTATTGATAAAAAAAAAACCCTGATGGTGGGGTGTCTATCTTTGGCTGACCCAGTAAATTAAATACCTGACCAATCAAGCTACTTCCATCAGATTAATGTGAAAACCCTGTAAATCCAATATTGCCATAAAGCAGTCCTGCTTATTGATTTTCAAGACTGCCCGCAATGACCTAATGCAAGCAGAGATATTAATGGGATAGATCATCGTATCACTTTGAAGAGAGTGGTTTTGATTTTCCAGCAACATACAGGACATACAGCGCTGGTTGTTAGCCCCATATTCTCAAATAGCGATGACTGATAATCACCACAACATGTTCTCATAATTATTAGAGCAGGATCTCGTATATTATTATTATTATTTTATTTTATTTTAATTTTTTTTTTGTTGACTTCACTTTGCCTCTGTATGTTTTGCCTTCTTGTTCACAGAAAGTGCATTAGTTAAATCTAATGTTTGAATACCATAAATAAAACAGAGAGGAGAGGTTTGGACAGTTTGGTCTAGGGCTGCACAATGAATCTGTGTTTGCTACAAGACCCAACAAAAAGTTGTAATCGCAATATCTGCCAAACATAATTGCAATATGATTTGAGCTAGTTAGTCTGGTCCTTAAACATAAACACAGGGCACACACACACACATACACAACACATCACAGTGAAGAGTGCAGCTCTGATCCAGTGTTTTCTTCTTCTTTCTTTTCCAGAATGGCTTCACTCCGCTGTACATGGCGGCGCAGGAGAATCACTTGGAGGTGGTGCAGTTTCTATTGGACAACGGCTCCAGTCAGAGCATCGCCACTGAGGTAAATACACTCGGAACACACACACAAGCACAAACAGATAATATAGTGTACATATACGCTTTAACGCCTGTCTGCACATGCTCACAAGCCCCTCACAGCTTCTAATAGCTACCCGTCATCCCAGCCCTCATTTAGCCTCCCTGTAATTACACTGCAGCATTATGACCAGCAGATTCTTTGTTTCAAATGGTTAATAGGTGCCTGCCACCAGTGGCTCATTTAGGAGAGTGAATAAGATACTGTATGAAGTCATTGTTTACTATGGTAAGAGTGAAGGAGGGTAGGGGAGTCAGCAGTGTAGCGATGTGTTCATTCAGAGTGACCTTGGCTGTGTTCAGCTGCAGAGGGAGGAACCGGTGACGTTACAGTGGTCTGTCGTCTGTGGTGTGAGCAGGGTGCTACGCTGTGAGCGTGTCAGAGCGATCCATCATCTGCAGGAGCACCGGCAGGCGGCCAACTGACTGCCACCGCTGCCAGACTAAAGTGTGACAAACACATCCTCATTTTGGTCAATAAAGTTTTGTGTGTGCTATCAAAACAGAAGTAAAAAGAGTACTCTACAGTACACCTGGATTACTCTCACCTCCCACTACTGCAAAGTATCATTTCTGTTCTGTTCAGTTAGATTTTAACTCTGTACTATGCTCTGTGGTGTAATTGTAAGCGGCTTTTGTGTGGTTTAAAAATGTTGATTATATGGACAATATATATATAATAATATCATACTGACTATTTATGATACTTAACTATGAAGTTATTTCTCCCCTTTTTTATTTAACAAAATAAGACAAACTTCTTAAATATTAAATGTTGAAACACAATACAGGACAAAGATGAGAACAAACATCAGGGACACAGTATCAACAAGTAACATGATTCAGAAGCCTGACCAGGAACAGGAAGCTGCAAATTAGCTTCAGCTAGATTTCTAGTTTCATTGCTTATTTGTATGTAACAATGTTTATTTGATTGGTTCCTGTTTAATAAACAAATAAATACATTTAAAATATCTAAGCACAGTTATGAATAACATGAAAGGCTGCTATGAAGTATGCTGTAGTGGGCTAGTCATTCAGGATCCCAAGATGATGAATGGGACATTTGACTGCGACTTGCGGCACTGGACAGTTTATGATGCTCATTGCTATGAACAGAATTATGTAAAAAAAATAAATAAATAAAATACTGAGGTTTCATATCCAACCCCACCAGCAAATTATTTATCATAACTTTTAAAAAAAAAAGAAGCCACCAAACTTTAGCCTGTTCATTTTTGAGTCTAAAATATGTGTGTGTGCAGATAAAGGGTTCATAAAGTGTGTTTAGGGAGTCAGATTTAAAAATGTATGTAAAAAGTTGACATTATTGGCATGTGCAAGACACTTCAATACAAATTAAAAAAAACGTTTTATTTGATGAAAACTTTCGTACATTTTTCTTATTGGCTACAATGAAAAATCCAATGAAAAGAGCACAGCTCATGTGTTAGTCTGTCTCTTTATAGAGTCTGACTTCCATGCCCAGTGGCCCAAAAAGACATAAATGTTTTAAAATTGGCCTCATGTATAAAAATGGCTCAGTAGTTTCCTGTGTACTGTAAATTTTGCAAATGTCTCTCAATTGGGAATAAATAATGCATTTGTTCTACTAAGTATTTAAGGCAGCAGGACAGTGTATGTGGAATTGGATCAAAATAAACTGTAGTGCTCTTGTTCATGGTGATGAAGTGCATCTGGCTAATACGTATGTTTATATTAGAGCTCTGTGGCTCAGAGGAATGACAGTATATTGTTAGTAGCATGAGTTTGTTGTTGGTTTTGGTTAGGGTTAGTTTTGTTGAAATGATTTTCACATCATCAGACTCATCCTTTAAGAGAAATCATTCTGCTTTAGTTTGACTGTGTTTAGTGACGTGTCTGATCGTCTCAGCTGTAAGGACATGGAGGCAGTGATGACGCACCTGCCTGTGTTTTCTGAATATTCAGCTGAAGCCGCATCCATCTCAGTTTGTTTATCAGTGTGTGTGTGTCCGTGTCTGTGTGTGTGTGTATGTTTACAAACCTCTCTCCTTGACAATCCACAAACGCCTTCGCAGCAGTGCTTCTTCTTCCCCCTCACTTCACCACCTCATCTCTTCTCCCTGCTCGTCTTCCCTCTCGTCTCTTTTCTTTTTCCTCCTCCATCATTCCTCCTTTTGTCTGCCTCCTTCTCCTCTCCACACGTCCTCCGTCTTTCCTCCTCCTCCTCACAGTCTCCTCCAGTGGGAGACAGAATGAATTATTCATGTGGGGAAATATATATCCATGTTTGAAGCAACTCCCGGTGTTTAATAATTCATATTTAACCATTTTGAGGCAGAATAGATGAGCAAGGCCTTTGTTTTGCTAATCTTATGTCTGCTTTTGATCTTTTTGTTATTGCATGTATTGTATTTTTGAGCATTAAATTACATAGATTACACAATGCACTGCAGTGCCAGGAAGTGTAAGACACTCTGCAGTGATTCTGCAGTAGATCCACATTTGTCCTCAGTAGTGTCTCTGTCTGGTATTAAAGCTGCTTCTCACTTTGTGAGGCATGTTGTGGCATGTTAACTGCCCCGTTACAATGAAGATAACTTGTCATATCATGCATAGCTTCATTTGTGCTATTGTCTTGATTTGATTCATTTTAATGGACTCCTGTTGCTGCAGTTTTTAGGTTTGTAATTTGTTCTAGTTTCAGCAACAATATGCTGTGTCATGGTTAGTCTTCAAGCTTGTAGATTGAGATCAGCAGCCCCCTTTTAATGCCTTTTTGTTTACTGCTGTCTGTCTGTCTGTCTGCCTGTCTGCATGTGTGTGTGTGTGTGTGTGTGTGTGTGTGTGTGTGTGTGTGTGTTGGGTCTGACAGCTTTGTGGGCTGTTTGAGGGTTAAGACTTCAGAACTGGGTTATGCATGCGGTTGTGATGGTCCAGGACAGGGCAAGGGGCTAGGGAATGCATTTTGTCGATGACAGGTCCCCACGAATATAGTAAGATGAAGACGCGTGTGTTAGCATGGGTGTGTTTGTTTGTTTGTCTCTCTGTTACAGTTTTGTGTGTGAGCTATGCAGGCTCTCTGTGGGGAGGATCTGCTTTGATGTGTGGGCGTACTGATGCTGAGTTGGTTTTATCCAGACAGTCGGTGTCCTGTGTAAACACACACATGCCTGTGCGCACACACACACACACACACACACACACACACACACACACACACACACACACACACACACACACACACACACACACACATATAATCTCTGTGTTGTTTTACTTGTAAGGAATCTTTCCTCCTCCTTGATGATTCATAGATACTGCTGCTAGTAGCCTCTGATTTGTTTTCATTTATGGATGAATCAGTGTGTGTGTATGTGTGTTCATGTGCATGTGTGCACACCATCCCACATGTCTATGCTTTTACATTAGTATGCTGTTTTATAACAGTTATTTTCAATATCGATTAATCTTCTGGTTATTTTCTCGGTTAATTGATTATTTGTTTTATCAATAAAATGTCAGAAGATGGTATAAAATGCCGTTATACACATTATAACCTCCACAGCCCAAGGTGACGTCTGCAGATCTTCAGGTCACTGTCATCTACAGCACAGATAATCATCAATCCTCACATTTGAGGAGCTGCACCCAGCAGATGTTTAGCGTTTTTTTCTCAAAAAATGATTTGATTATCAAAGTGGTTGCGGATCAGTTTTCCGCAAATGACTAATCATTTAATTGACTGTTGCAGCTCCAATGCAGAGTCACTTTCATCTGGTCTGCATCTTGGTTTGTGCCCATTAGCAGCTAAATTTCCTTTCGATTTGTCCTTCAGTGAGACTCTGAACTGCTGCTCGTGCACTTCAAGTATCTTTAGGACATTAGCTAAAATGCCTTAATCTCCAAATGGCCATTAGTTTTGCCCTGTGCTTGTTGGTGTGAAACTTGCAGCTGGTATTAAAATCACAGGAGGAGGAGACAGGAGTGTGTGTCTGTCTGTGAGTGTGCTTGGCTGTGTAAAAAAACACATTGCAGTGCTTGGATATGAGAAAGGAATATTAAGATTACTCTGGAGGCTCGGCACCGCTGCTGACCAGCCTCTGCTTAACAGGCAGACAGCAAAGGCAGCTGTCTGATTATAATGTATAATGTAGCCCTACACAGGACGAAGGCTGTAGTGAAAACAGCAGTCAGACAAAACAGTTAGAGTCCTCTGGATGATGTTTTAAAGCAGAAGATGCCAAAAAGATCCTGTCCAGACTGTAATGTCAGATTGCCATTATAATGTTGCATTCATGGTCTCCAGAGGATAAATCGTAATGACTGTGGTGGAGTGAACCCCTGACTTTTCATCTGGTGCTGCCATGAGGGGGTTTTCAGTGAAATATCTCACCAATTATATAATGGATTGCTCTGAAATTTTCCAGATGAATGGTAATCACTTAAATCATCCCCTGACTTTTTATATGGCGCCATCATTAGCTGAAAATTTGAATACTTTTATTACCAAATACCACTATACATTGTGTTTAGTACTAATTAACACACTAATACATGAAACTAAGTGACTATGGTAAACATTACCTGCTAAACATAGCGTGTTCGCTTGCTGTAGAACAAAGCACCACTCTTAGTCTTGTTAATGTACTATAATTGTATTTATTGTATCTGACGCAATGTGCAGACAACTACACTCTCCCAAACAATGTAAAGCGTCATTTGATCATTTTGAGGCCTATAAGGAAAGAAAAACTATGTAAAGATTTTATGGATATTAGGAAACATGAAGTATCCACATGATCTATTTGTACTATATCATATCCGTCAGAGTCAGTGATGTGTGTTACTGTTTCTGCTGGTCCACAGGATGGTTTCACTCCGCTGGCGGTGGCGCTGCAGCAGGGCCATGACCAGGTGGTTTCCCTCCTACTGGAAAATGACACCAAGGGGAAGGTCCGCCTCCCGGCGCTGCACATCGCCGCACGCAAAGATGACACCAAGGCCGCCGCCCTCCTCCTCCAGAACGACCACAACGCTGATGTGGAGTCAAAGGTAACGCTCTGTATGATAGGCAGGACTACAGTTCCCATCATGACCTGCTGTCAGAAAGGAAGTGATTTTGTTTATGTTTTTCCTGGTTAAAACTCTCTTCACCTTATTTCTAGCCCCATGATGCCTTGCATGAATTATGGGTGTGACTTTCAGTTTTTCCTTTCACTGAATCACCGTTTGCTTCAGGTCTGTTTCCTTTTCTTAGATATTTTGTGGAAATAAATTATGAGATAGAACATGTAAATATTAGAGCTTTAGACATGCTGGTAGGTGGATGTTGTTACCTATGGGCAGAGCCGTGCTAGCAGTTTCCCCCTGTTTCCAGTCTTTGTGCTAAGCTAGGCTAACTGGCTGCTGGTTCATTTTTAGTTTAGTGAGAGTGGCGTTCATTTCATCAACTAACTCTCAGCAGAAAGCAAATAAGAATATTTCCCACAATGTCAAACTTTTCCTTAAAAGGAGATGATGTTCATCTGTCGTCTACAGACAAGAGAGGGGGCGGTGACTTTATTTATTTATTTATTTTATTAGCCTAAACTGTTACTCGCTTCACTGGCCAGATTCAGTAAAGTTGCTGGATATGCTACAGTACTTTATCTGACATCACTTGTTATGATCACATTACCCTGTCCAATGTGTGACACATTGTGTTCCCTCATCATCTACTTCCAAGGGTGTAATTAACACTATGTAAAATTCTGTTTCTGTCTCTGTCGTTTTTACACTTTGAGTTAGATTTCACTTAAATCTCTCTAAACAATATCTTAACACCATTCTGACTGGATTAACATTACAGGACAAGGTGGGGGATGAAATATTCCCTTTGGTCCCTGGTAATTTAACTCATCATGTCTGATGGGATTTTAAACTTTGTGAAATGACAGGATGTGTCTTTGATACTTGGACCTTCGTTCAGTGAACTGTGTAAACCTTCATGATTTAGGACTTGTACTAACTGAGTTTAGCTGTTAGTTATGTGTTTATTTTTTTACTCTAAATTCAAATATGGATGAAAAATGTTGATACACTCACCTGAGTCCCCTTCGGTTATTACTGTACACTCACAGTGGTGAGTAATTTGAAACATTTATTTTGGCCGCAGTTTTGTCTCTCAGGCTATTAACAACTGAAGTAACTGCCTGAGCAAAATGCTGCAACCTCGTCTTTTGTGGGTAAAAAAATATTAAATCTATATATTTTAGCCTCAATAATCTCTTAAATTAGACTAGAATTAAACATCAATGAAATAAATATTACATATGGCTCTATTAAATGATGATGCATCGTACATACAAATATGTACGATGTACAAGGTCTCTAATAACGAAAAAGTAAATGTCATTTTAAGTAAGGATCATGTTATATTAATAATACAGCAAATTATACAGCATTGATATTTTTTTATCAGACTGAAATCAATTTGAAAGGACTTTGATTTTTCTAATCCCCCCCAACAGAAAAGGTAATACACCTGTAGCACAACGCTAACTCTCATTCAACGGTTCAGTGAAAGGAATGACAGAAAGTTGTGCCCAATAGTCAAGATATTATATATCATGGGGATAGGAATAACACGGATAGACATTTTCTGTCATTGTGTGTTTGTTTTTATTGTGAACTTGATGTTGTTTTTTGTCAGTTCCTATTGAGAAAGCATTTAAGTCGGCAAAGATGCTGGACAAACAAGCATGTAGATTATGTTCATGTTTAAAGTCTTGGAGCAAGAAACAATGTTTTCCTTGTGTTCGTTAGCAGAACAAATAACAGCCTATAGGGGAGAACCTCAGTCCCTCATCCAGTCGTGTGCACCTCTGTGTGGTTGCCTTTCAGTTCTTCTCATTATCTCCGGCCACATTCTCACATGCCCATCCTACAGCTTGGTGCAGTCGTGGTGTTGGTGTTGTTGTTGTAGTTGTTGTGGTGCACTAACCACCCCATTCTCTCCTCCTCTTCCTCCTCCTCCTCCTCCTCCTCCCTCTATACGTTCCTTTTTTTCTTACCCTACCGCTCCCCCCGTTTTCCCTTTTCCCTTCTAGATGATGGTGAATAGAACAACAGAGGTACATCTTCTCTTCTCTTCTCTTCTCTTCCCTTCCCTTCCCTTCCCTTCTCTTCTCTTCTCTTCTCTTCCCTTCTCTTCTCTCCTCTCCTCAGCTCTCCTCTCATTGTTCACTCATGGTCACCACTGCAAAGCCAAAGCCTTTTGTCTGCTGGCATGAATGTTAAACGCTGGCGTGAATGCTTTTGCTGCTGACAGCGCTTCACCTGCCTGTTTTTAATCCTGCATCGCAGTTTTGACTTTGCTTTGTGTGTGTTTGCACTGGCTCGCTGCTCTGGGGCAGAAATGTAATAAATAATAGCAGAATTTTAGTTTCCTTAAATACACAGTACCTAGAGCTTATGAAACCATTTAGTTTTCAGGCAGCGTTTTTTTTTTTTTTTCAGTGATGTACAATAAACTCTCATGTAAAAGCCGAGGCCTGTGGCCAGCATGAACAAATAAAGGCCAGTCGCTACTACAGGCCAAGTAAAAAAAAATATTGATGGGGGTTAAATTGCATTTCCACGGCATTAATCCCATCAGTGCAATAAACAGTCACGTTGTACTCACAACTTTGCTATTCTGTTTCTATTTTTAACAGAAATAATCTTTTTTGTCCACTTATTAAATTAAATCTTTCCACTTTTCTGATATTAAGCTGCCATCAATGAAACTGAACCCTTCCTGTGGATTTTTCACTTTAAAGCCTTATCAATAACCACAAACCTGGAATACTTTTAATGTGAAAAGCGTTCACAGTAGCTTAACATTGATCAGGAAAAATGAAAGGACTCAATTTAATGAATGCAAGCAGCACTGAGAGCAGCAGAGTGGGGAGTTAGTGCTGTGGACACGGACATGGACATAATACTGACTTTTTCAAGACAGCAGGTAAACAAGTTTTTGAGTTTGCATTAACCAGGAAATAAAAACCTGTCTTTGATATAAACCAAATAAAGGCCTGCTACAAAAAAAAACAAAAAAACATAGACGTACAACACATAGTGTACACAATTGTTGAATGGGGGGGAAAGCGTGAACAACAAACCTACCTTGTCAATAGCTCGTAAAATCCAGCCACCAGCCCCTGTAAAGCTCATTAATTAACTCTTTGTTTCTTTAAATTGTACAAAAGCTTCATATTTAACACACAGATATGAGGCTGATATTAATCTTATCGTCTAACTCTCAGCAAGAAAGCAAAGGACAAGAACTAACATATTGTAATAGTGGATATTAAAGGGATTTTCTTTTTTTGGTTTGGCCAGAAAACGCCAGATCCTTCACCTCCTCACCGTCTAGGTTTTTGTCCTCATCTACTGTAAATGGTTCAGAACATTCTTGTGTTTCTCTGCATCATGTTATCACTGACCAGTTTAAACAGCTGACATGTAAAACAGTAAACATGTTGCAAGCTGTGCCGGGTTACAAAGATATTCAAAAATAAAAACTCACAGCAGGACTTGCATCAGCTAGCCGTCTCGTCTTTGGCGATTGTGTCAATGTCTGTCAGAATATACTACACGTTTTTTTTTTTATCCTCCCTCTCCCAGCCGACTTCCCTTTCTCCATCCACAGCAGCACCTTTCTGTAATGTGATCATCCTCCAGTTACTATAATATCTGCCACATGTATCAACAAGACAGAGTGCTTTTGTTCTTTGCACTTCTTGGATGTTTGCTTGTGATGTTCGCACTCTTGAATTTTACATTTATTTCAGTGTTGTAAATGCTGTCAATTGCTGTGGTCTGAATGAACTGAATTTAAATTTGGCTGTGCAATGTGACCATCCGTCTATCAAAGGCTCTCATTCAGCTGAAGTGATAGTTACAACTTCAGTTTAGCTTTAGCATGCTAATAGATTTTATTGATTTGCATTTTTAACAAACATGAACCTGAAGTTATGCTGACTATCCTTTGAAATAATGCTATTTACTACAAAGTTAAGACTGAACTTTCCAAGATTATCTCAAACAAATAAATATTTTATTATTCTCACTAATACTTTTTGTGTGTCAGATTCAAGTCATTTTCACAGCGTCATGTTCTGCTTCATGTCTTAAAGTGGTTTGTTTATATATTTAAACTGACGCTTTCTTCAAAGCAGCCCAGTAAATCCAGACTGCCTTCAAAGGTGCTATTTGTAAATTTTGCTATTGTTACTTAGCTAGCGTTAGCATTAACAGCTATTTACTTACCAGTCCAGAGGAAAAGTTCAGCATCAAACTTCATTCCTTTACTCACCAACAGCTGTTTCCAGTTGTGGAAAGCAATGCTGTTGTTAACTCTTGTTTCTGGAGTTAGCACGCTAACTAGCTAGCCCTGGCCCGTCTCGTCACTTTCCGATACTGAGTCACTGTAGCCTCAAGTCTCCCCTGAAGATGTAGCGCTGCTCAGAGGACGTATTATAACCTCTCATCTTGTAAACGCAACAACGGCCGAAGCTCTTGTCAAGCAACAATCACCACCACCTACTCCCAGCAAGAAACCACATTTGGTGGCAGACAAAAACTTACAAATAACCCCTTTAACTAATGCAGACGCATGCTCACCTGCATGTCTGGTTTATAAATGTTTTTCCTGTCAGATGAAATCATATTCCAAACGAGTGATTTCTTTGAGACAAAAACTGAATTGGGCACCCAGTATTTAAATTTTTGTGGTTTTCATTTGACAGGAGCTGATCGTGCTTCTGTTTGCTTATAATGTGATTTTATCCACTCTGAACCTGAACAGTGTTTAGTTATGGTGCGCTTGCCAAAACTATTAAGCAAGAAAAGTAGAGTGATACACTGAGTGGCCACTCTATTAATCTAATGCAATACAACACAGCAGCTCAGCCATTAATTCTACCTTTACAAAGATAATAATGAATTGAGGTATATGTTTATTATTGAGTGTGAACTCAAACTGAATGTAATAAGCTTTGTGAAGGTAGAACATGTGACAGAGCTGTTGTACTGGATTGCATTAGAATATACATGTGAACAATCAGCACACATTTGTTTTGTCATTTTTCTCAAAGCATGTCTCACTCATGCTCAGGCCCTGTCTGCTGTGCGCTGTTTAGCCTGCTTTCGGCCAACCGCTGCTCTATGTAATGTCCCATCATGCTTTGCTCATTGTGCTTTGACACACTCTTTGCTTCTTTTTGTTCTCTCTTCAACTGATTCTGTTCTTCTCTCCTCTCTGTCTACCTGTTTGTCTGTCTATTGCTCCCTCTCAGAGCGGCTTCACTCCTCTGCACATTGCGGCTCACTATGGCAACATCAATGTAGCGACGCTGCTGCTGAACAGAGGGGCAGCTGTGGACTTCAAGGCGAGGGTAGGTGCTTCATTTCAAAGACGGTGAACACACACACACACACACACACATGTGTGAGTGTGTGTGTGTGTGTGTGTGTGTGTGTGCAGGAATCTAAAACTGACACAAGTAATTCTACAGCTGTGCTTGTCAGTCTGCAGGAGGAAGCATTGTGTGTGTGCGCTACATGATCCTATAGATTGTAGGAATAGATGCTGGATGTTTGTGAATCTATATAAGTGTCAAACACTTTAGTAAACGTTTGTTTTTATGTGACATTTTCAAATAGGTAATATTCAGGTTCTTTTCTCAAGTATTTAATATTTTGTCATTTCATCAAATATGTCAAAGATCAATGAGATAGAAAACAAAGAATCATCTGAAATCAGCTTTATTTATTATTATTATTCATTTATTATTTATTTGTTTATTATTATTATTAACATTGTATTCTCATTAGTTTTGACATATTGGTAAAGAGCACACAGAAACACAGTCTGTCCTCAAACAGATTATATAACCATACAGTAGATTGTAAACTATACATAACACTCAGCAGGTGCAGCTTCGTAGTGCATAGTGTCCTATTAAAAGTCCTACTCAGCCCTATATAAGAACTTCTGGTGAACACTCTCTCTCTCTCTCTGTCAGCTTTCTGGAAAATTTCACCGGAAAGACCAAGAAAGCAAGAGCGCAGATCAGTGTGCAGCTGGCAGCTCTGAGACTTGTACAGTCTGTATGAGGGGGAATGTGAATCTTTGTCCTCTCGCACTGCAAATGAGTTCAGCGTTTTTCCTCTAACTGAATCAGAAATGACAGACATATGATATGTATGATAAAAAAAGGCTTCATTAACACATGCTCTTTGGTGTCATGTATCAGGTTCTGTATTTGTTTCCCCGCTGCGTGCATGATGTCATGAGTTGTAGTGTCTGACCAGCAGAGAGTGTGAGGATCCTGTGTGTTAAATATATTCCTTTTTCTTCTTTTCTTTCTCCACAGAATGACATAACACCGCTGCACGTAGCATCCAAACGTGGGAACAGCAACATGGTGCGACTGCTGCTGGAAAGAGGGGCCAAGATAGATGCAAGGACCAAGGTAGACATGCATTTTGATCCCAAATATATACATTTTTGACTGATGTTTATGTTTAAAGGGAAACTCCATTGATTTAATGCTGCACTTTCATGAAGTTGGAGGCACAGATGGAAAAAAGAGAAATATCAAAGCTGAAAACACTTCATAATCGAGCTTGATAGTGTCTCTTTGTTAAACCTCTGAGTTCAGTAAAGCCCAATCCATGACCATTTATGTTCCAAACAAACTGTACAGACTGTTCTCATATCATCTCCAAGGTGTCAGAAGCAGCTTAGTTTCATGTTTGCCCAAATGTTTACTAGTTGAAGGTTTTTTTCAACCTATAGACAAAGATGTGATACTTCAAAAGAAATAAATTCATGAATATCATCAAACTCATCCTGCAGTCTGTGTGCAATTGCAGTGAGGGCTTCGCTGACACTGTGGTTGATGGTGTTAAGCTGAAAGCCGAGCATCTGCCTGAAGCTACTGCTCCTACATTGTACTTCACTGTTTGTCCTCACAGGATGGTCTGACTCCTCTCCACTGTGGAGCCCGGAGCGGTCATGAGCAGGTGGTGGAGATGCTGCTGGACAGAGGAGCTCCAATACTGTCAAAGACCAAGGTACAACCTCTGTCTTGCTGCTTTCTATTCTCACTTCTCTGCCTCAGTTTTTTTCTTAAGCAGTTAGATCATTCTCTTCCTGATGCCAACAAGACACGTGACCGTTTGACACATTAGCTTTAGCAGCCATTTTAACTTGTGACCTTAGAAATACGACAACTTTTTCCTCTTGTTTTGCCTCCAGAACGGTTTGTCTCCCCTCCACATGGCGACGCAGGGCGACCACCTCAACTGCGTCCAGCTGCTGCTGCACCACGAGGTGCCTGTGGACGACGTGACCAACGACTACCTGACGGCGCTGCACGTAGCTGCCCACTGCGGACACTACAAGGTGGCAAAGGTCATTGTGGACAAGAAGGCCAACCCCAACGCCAAGGCACTGGTGAGGATGGGGAAGATATATGGATTCAAATCAGGCTCAATAAGATTTGGCCCAGTTTTTACACCTGAATCTGGTTGGACAGTGACGGTCCAACGACAAAGCATAATACAGAATATCGCTTTAGTCAAAATCTTATTGAGCCCGATAAGGATCAGACTTGGGTCGGCAGCAAAGAGATGCAGTTGTAGCTTCAGGGAGAAAGAGACTCCTCAGTCATTTGTTATGATGCAACCAAAAGTGTGAAAAGGAATGGGAGGAAGTGAAAAGATGGAAATTTTGTTCTGTGTTTAGTTCAAGGACCAGCATAATTATCATATGTAGGAGGGCTTTGAATGAATCAATTACTTGATCTGATCAAGAGTTTTCTCCCTCTTGTCGCACACTTCAAGGAGCAAAGAAATCAATGAAATACTATTTTATAGTATTTTCTGGTTTATTAAGCAGAATTTCTTTCTTTCTTTTATTTCTTTCTCTCTTATAAAAGATCATTTGGAGACAAATTTATTACAGAGCTCTTAGAAGTACATTTTTATCTCCCTCTGGTTTTTTTTTTCAAAGAAATCAATGAAATACTATTTTATAGTATTTTCTGGTTTATTAAGCAGAATTTCTTTCTTTCTTTTATTTCTTTCTCTCTTATAAAAGATCATTTGGAGACAAATTTATTACAGAGCTCTTAGAAGTACATTTTTATCTCCCTCTGGTTTTTTTTTTACCTTGAGCTTGTGTAACCTTTTCATTAATGGGACAGATTTCAGTTCATACACGAGCCATGTTTAAAGAGGGATGGAAATGTTCTTGTGAAATAGCCGCCGTAACTTTAACAGAAAAGTGACCTGGGGCTTATTTTAAACGTGAGAACAACCGCCTCCTTCATGTAACGAGATGCATGTCTGAAAGAGACTTTACAGTGGGAAAGTGATAGAAAATTTTTCTCCAAAACTGAAGTATAAAATGGATGAATTCCTGCAGAGGCTTGAATTGAAGCTGCACTGTTTCTCAAGCTTGTGCCAGTGGAACATTTAAGTCCTGCAGTCAGGTCTTGATGATTTCATCTCCCGACCAACCAAAGATTTCTTCCTTCCTTTCAAGTCTCTCATTTCCTCTCTCCCTCCCTCCTTCCTTTTCTTTTCTTCCTTACCTCCCTCATTATCCCTACTTTTGTTTTTACAACAAAAAGAGAGATATAAGGAACTTTAACGGAGAGGAAAAGACACAGCACAGAGAGAGAGAGAACATGAAGGAAATGAATGAAGGAAGCAGACAAGGACACCAAAAGAGGCTTTATAACCACAGCCGCTGTCTTTGGCGTTAAGACAACCATCTCTGTTCTGTAATGGGAGAAGTCTGGGTGTGGTTAGAGCACTGGGACTTTATAGCCAGAGAGAATGAGAAGGAAAAAAAGGACATGGAGAGGAAAATGAAGTCATAGGATTGAGCCAGAAACCTCAAAGTCAGGAGAGTAGGAGAAGGAGGGAGGGAAGGAGGGGGCAGACTGTACGAGCTGGCGAGAGACGAGTGAGTTGTAAAGAAGAGTATCTATTTCAGTCCAGCATACTTTTTAATTTTTTTTTTTTTTTTTTTACATTCTTACAGTCAAGTCAATTATTTCCACACATGCTTGTCTGGTTTGCATGTTGAAAGTTTAGAGAAAGAGTGAAAGAAAAAGGGGAAAAGGGGAAGAGGAGGGGGAACAAGGAAAGAAGGTGCCCCTTTGTACTGTATTTTCCATGTGGAGTTCCAGATTTGTCTTCAGCCAGTTCTGCGAGACACACACACACACACGCAGGACTATTTAAAAAAAAAAAAAAAAAAAACTTTTTAGTGGATTTATTTTTGTTTTCCGTGTTTTAGAATGGTTTCACTCCTCTGCACATCGCCTGCAAGAAAAACAGAGTCAAGGTGATGGAGCTGCTTCTGAAGCACGGAGCATCCATACAGGCAGTCACTGAGGTATGTGTGCAGAGCGTGAAAGCTCCACGCCGTCAGTTGTTGCTGTAATCAGTTTTTAAAGTGAAGAAAGACTTGGTGTGTCTCTTGTTCTCTACGAACCTCCGGGAGCATCACAAGAAGAGAGTTGGCAAGTTTTCTGTGGGTTGTTTGGGGTTAAATTTGTTCCCACAGCGCTGGAAAGAAGAGCTGTGCTTAAGTACACTTTTGCCATCGGCTACTTGTACTTGTGTATTTAAATTTTCTGCTTCTTTATACTTCAGCTTCATTACATAAAAGAGGGAAATTTTTTATACTGCACACACAGAAAAAAAAATCTTCATCTTACCAAGTCATTTTGTTTATTATTGCTTATTTTCTTAAAATAAGTAAAAAAAAAAAGGATGTTCCATTGGTGGTGAGATCACGTCAGCCTGGTTTAAAGTGGCTGTATTTGATATTTATGTATCAAACGACAATGTGAAAGGGGGCGACTGTAGTGATGAAGCTACAGGTAATTATCACCTGGATCTCCTCGGCTTTAAAGAGCTTTATAGAGACTCGGCTCATTGTTTATCTGTCCGGCCCTTTAGTTCACTGTCATAGAGTCTACCCGCTCAGCAGCGAACAGCAGACACACACACAGTTAGAGAGCAGCTGGTGGACACAGCGGAGCATTTAGCAGCTAAAGAGCCAGGTGTTTCCCTTCAGGAGCTGGTGGAGACCAAAAACAGAGCTAACAGAGAGGGAATACTGAATTTATATTCATCAGCTGGACACAAACACGACGCTAAGTGTATGATAATGTTGCTCGGTAACTGCTGGGTGTGTAAATAAGCAACTGTTTCCTAACAAGTTTAGCCATATTAGCTAAAAGGCTGATAATATGTCAGTTATTTTTGCTGAAAAAAATGTGTTATTATGGGTGTAAGACAAGCTGCCTTTAATACATTTGTCATATACTATATACTGTAGATGTGCTGATCAGGAACCGGATTGTGTTCTCATGTATCACAGACTCAAATCTAAAATAACATGTAATAAAAAGCTTTTCTTTTTTTTTGCCCAGTATTCCTAAAATAACTTTTCTACAACCACTATTTCTACACGTGATAGTCTGATGATTCTTTCTGACTTCCCCTCCCTGTGTGTAGAACTCAAGCTCAAGCCCGTTCATTCCTTCTGAAAATGTAAATCTTTAAAAAAAAAAAAAAAACAGGTCGTGAAGATCGTTGACATTCATACTCACAGATTATTGTTCTTGTTCTGATTCTTCAGTCTGGTCTGACTCCGATCCACGTAGCAGCTTTTATGGGACATGAAAACATCGTCCACCAGCTGATCAGCCACGGGGCTTCACCAAACACAAGCAATGTGGTGAGTTCAGGAAGCTCCTGATTTCTCTTTCTTATTTCTTCGTTGTTTACTTCTTGTTTTCCCAAAGGACTGACAAAATGTAAAATGTCAGTACTTCATTATACATGAGGAGAATTTTTTTTCAGGTATAAGATAAATAGATATTTTTTTGGTGATAAATAGATATAAAAAGTGTGATTGTCAGTCCTCTGTACCTGGGATAACATGATATGGCATTTTCACAGTTTCTCTTTTACAATGTGCAGGGGTTGAAAGCAGCAAAGTACATGTACTTAAGTATAATTTTGAGATACTTCTTCTCCACCACATTTCAGAGGGAAATGTACTTTTTACTTTACTACATTTATCTGACTTAAAATCTGCTTTAGGTACCTGTTACTTTTCAGAGTAAGATTCTATAGTAAATAATGTGATTATCAATATAAATTCAGGATTAAACCAGTGGATCAAAATTTTCAACATTCTTGGACTGATACTTTTACTAAAGCAAACCATCTGAGTACTTCTTCAAAGTGACGTATCACTATCAAAAATAATAATAAACTTTATTTATATCATGCTAGAGATGTAGCTCAAAGTGCTTTACAATAAAAAATGAAATAGTACGATAAAATAAGGGCGAATAGAAGGATGAAATGGAATTAGACAATAGAAAGACGGTAGATGATAAAATATGCAAATGAAAATAAAAACAGAAACTAGTAAGAACAGTAAAATCTGACAGAATTATTTAAAAGCCAGGTTAAATAAATAATTTACCCTGGTTATGTTGTAGAAGACTGAGCAACCTCCAAATCGCTGTCATTGGTGAAAACCTGTGTAGTTCAGGAAGGAGGAGGGAAAGCAGCGGTATATTAATGCCATGTGTATGTAAGGAAACAACCTCTTACTCTCATCTGGTCCATCAACACTCTTCTGTAGCAGCTACAAACTCTACTACTGACCCTCCTAACTGTTAAATCACAATAAAGGCGAACGAGAAAATAAAGAGAGAGAGAGAGAGAGGGAGAGGGAGAGGGAGAGGGAGAGGGAGGAAGCAAACAGAGAGGGGCAAAAGCACTGCACAGTCAACTCTTCAACCCCAAGTATTTGGTCGCCCACGCCGTGTCTGTGGCCAGGTTACCGTAGAAACGGAGCATTATGGGACGTCATTATGGTGAAGTTGGGTGTGGAGAGTGAGGGGGTCTCTCTCTCTCTCTCTCTCTCTCTCTCTCTCTCTCTTTCTCTCTCTTTCCCTCTTTCTCTCTGTACATCTTAACAGAAAAGGGAGATTTTCATGAAGAAGGAGGCTGAGAGAGGATTTGGAGAAAGACTCAGAACTTTGGAATAACTGTTAATCCCTCCCTTTCTTTCTTGTGTGTGTGCGTGCGTGTGTGCGTGCGTGTGCGCTGCAGAGGGGGGAGACAGCACTCCACATGGCAGCGAGAGCAGGACAGTCAAATGTGGTCCGATATCTGGTCCAGAACGGAGCTCGAGTGGATGCCAAGGCCAAGGTAGACCACATGTGACATTTGACTTCAGATCACACTCTATCATCCTTTTTAAATAGAAAATACACTGAACCCATTCAGTGTCGGCCACAACAGCTTTGAGTGTGTGCGTGTGTCTGTGTATTTATTTATATTTGCTTGAGACACAGAACATTACAGTTGCTAAATGTGAGCCACGCTGTGTGTCTGTGGTTGTGAGTGTGTGTGGTTTTGTCTTTGCATGTGTCTAATTACTGAGTGATTACAGTGCAGATTTGTCTTCTTGTTCCCATTGTAAGCAAACAAAAAACCTTTTGGTGGAAACTGCCATGACATAATGATAGAAATCCTTATGTCAGGTTGCTGTGTAAACATGCTGGTATTTTTATTCATTTTCATCGACCTATTCAGGAAAAAATGTCCTACAAAGCCAGTTTTTCTCATTATAAGAGAGAAAATGTTCATTCAAAGTTGCTTGAATATTGTAAATGGAAGGCTAATATGAGAGTACACAAAATTCTCCAAAAAATACAAAGATTGCAACAAACAAAGCACCGAAGCCCACAAAGATTTCTTTTCTTTTCTTTCTTAAAGCAGCTGTAATTGATATTTTTATAACAATAAGACATGAAATCACAATGTGAAAACAATGTGAAAGCATTGGCTACAGAGACTTATTACCTGAGTCAGCAGCTCCACTCAACTTTACAGCTAAAAGTGATAGTAGTTAGCAGCTAAAGAGCCAGACATTTCCCTCAGGAGTCGGTGGAGACCAAAAATAGAGCAAAAAGAGGGAATACTACACTTCAATTCATCGGGTGGACGCAGACACTACTCCACATGAATAATTAAGTTTCTACATAACTGCTGAATGTTTAAATAAGCAACTATTTGCTAACAACTTCAAGATATCCACTGAAAAGATGATTATATGTGAATGTGTTCACATCAGTTTTTGCAGGTTTAAGCAAACAGTTCCTCTGAATACTTTGTTTTCTAGGTATTAATAATCTGCTGTTCATGTTTGTTTGCTTGTTGTCACCAGGACGACCAGACTCCACTGCACATTTCTAGCCGCCTCGGTAAACAAGACATAGTTCACCAGCTGCTGGCTAACGGAGCGTGCCCAGATGCCACCACCAACTCCGGATACACACCTTTACACTTGGCTGCCAGGGAGGGACACCGAGACATCGCTGCAGCACTGCTGGACCAAGGAGCGAGTCTGGGCATCACTACTAAGGTAAATATTGAACACACACACACACACACATGAGGAAATATGTGTTTGTGTTACATATAAACATAGAGTGGGCAAGCCAGGGGATTAGTGCTATTGCTCTGGAGTGGAAGAAGATCTTACTGAAGTGAAGGTGGTAATACCCAAGTAGCCAAGTATTACCAGCCAAATGTAAGTAAAGAAAAGTATTATATAAACATTATATGAAGTTTACACTTTATATAATGTTGGGTTGCTTGCTTGAATAGAATTATATGTAAAAAGTTGATTTTGTAAGCTTCTTGAAACATGTTGATTTGCTTTGAAAGCAGGTTGAAGTATTGATTATAAAGTGGCACATAACTTTTTTATTTTTCGGAAAGAATGTGTGATATTTTAGAAGCTTTTCATTAGAAATAATCTGCAAAATATGCAAAATAACTAGTAATTAGAAAAATGTAAAGGAGTAAAAAGTACAGTATTTACACATTTGACATATGCATACACACATACTGGCCCCAAAATATCGTGCAACCTAATTAAGGAATTTCAGTGAGGAGGAGGTGTTTGTATTGTTCCACCTCGAGTAGGAACAGTTTGGAAAAATCTTAATTTATTGTGAATGCTGAATAAACGTATTTTCAAAGGGATTGGGAAACGCCAGTTACAGTTGACTGTCTGCCGATGGAAGAGTGTGGTCATAATAACAATGTTTGGTCTGGAGTCTGAAAACACTGTTGGTGGAGGAGTTATTTGTCCAGCTTTGGATCATTTTGTATTGTGAATTACTCATCTGAAAACATCAGTTTAAACTGCAATGAAGCATTTTATGGCCACAGATTTCGACCCTTTGAGATGATGTTGACGATGGTGAAACAAAGGAAGAAACAGGCCCCACTTGTTTCTTTATATTGGATCTCTTGAGGTAGTTTTTAAGGTGCTACCAGCCAGGAACAAAAGTTCATTAAATTCAGTCAGTTGTGTGAACTGTTGCTAATGATTGATGATAATAATGCTTATGTGCTATGATTGGATTTTTCCTGACCCATCTGTCACGATCATAACAATCATTTCCAAATGGTAATAGAGTTCTATTATTCACGCAAGCATCTGTGATAGTGTTTTGGTTAAATCTTTCCCTGCAAGCAGGTTTCCTACCCTGATTGTGTGCAATATGATTTTTACTGTAGAAATTCACAAGCTTTGAACAAGGACGACAGTCTGTGTTCTGTCAGGTCCCAGTGCAACACTGTTAGTCACTTTTCTGTTTGCGTGCATTCACAGACATGCACATACAACACACACACAGCAGAGTCTTTCTGCTCAGAAATCATTTTGAACCACAGTCACGGACCTTTGTTGCCTCATATCTGAAGAATCTGATGTAACGCACACAACACACATCCTACCTCCACACCCTGGGCCCATACTGTGTTTCATCATTTTTTTTTAAAGTAATCAGTTCTCCATGTTGTCATGACATAACGCTGCAAATGACTCAGTCTGAAGTGATCAAACACATATGGTTCTGTGGGAGCAGCCATGTATAGAAAACAAGTCATGGGAGAAGTGTGTTTAACAGAGACAGAGCGACTCGGATTAGATTTTGTATTAAATTTGGTTTCATGTTTTTTTTCTGTTGTGTGTCTCTGCAGAAGGGCTTCACTCCTTTGCACGTTGCAGCAAAATACGGGAAGATCGAGGTCGCCAACCTGCTGCTGCAGAAAAGCGCTCAGGCTGACGCTGCTGGGAAGGTAATGCGGGTTTAGCCAATGATGCGTGCCTGAGAGAGAATGATTGTTTATGAGCGACAAAAGGAGAGTGTGTGTGAGCTCCCACATAAAGAACAGGATATATGCAAGTCACACACGTGCACAGGATCACTTTGTTTTGTTCAGCCAAAGCTTTCACAGTATTCTCTGCTCATACTGCACTCTGCTGTATGTGTATCACCATCTAACAATGCTCATGTGCGTTTGTGTGTGTGTTCAGAGTGGACTAACTCCACTGCATGTGGCAGCACACTATGATAACCAGAAGGTGGCGCTGCTCCTGCTCAACCAGGGAGCCTCGCCGCATGCTGCTGCAAAGGTAAGAGTCAGTCAAAGTGTGTATGTGTGCGTACGTGCGTTTGTGCGCGCGTGCGTGCGTGCGTGTGTATGTGCGTGTGTGTTTGCTGAAGGAGGTAAAATCAAATGTTCCTTAATGCATTAATGCACCAAAACCTCTCTCTCCCTCTTTGGCTCGGGGTGAAAGCAGGCTGACCTAGTTTCAGTCACCCACCATGCAATTACCCTGTGTTCTATACTGGAGCGATGCTTTGTGATTGGCTGGTTTAACAACATCTATCCTGAGAGAGCTGCCACTGACACCAGGAAAGCTCCACTAACTTTTTCTTTCTGACAAAAACATTTTCATCAAGTGTTTTTTAATCAAATACCTGGATATAAGACAAAGTTGGCTGCATCCACCAGAATAGCAGTAAAATGTAAACACAAAGAGAAGTGGGCTGGAAGATGTCATTGAAATTAATTAGAATCTTAAAAAGAATAATTTTCTGATATAAATTTATATCATAATACTGCAACTTAATGCAAAATAACAAATTAACTTTGTTGAACAGTTGAGTATTAAATCAAAAAACAACTGTGCTTGTTTAAACAGAAAACTTGAACCACTTCTTTTTTAGTTGTTAATCACTATTTTCTTAAATTAATGTGAAGGAATATTAGGAATATTTTGGTGAAATTCACACACAGTTCAATTATTCACTTTCTTGTGAATGTTAGATGAGAATATTGGTACCACTCTCATGTCTGTACGGTAAATGTGAAGCTACAGCTAGCAACTGGTTATCTTAGCTTAGCATAAAGAACGAGATAGGGGCTTATCTGGGGCTTTTTACTTTTACTTTTGTTTTGTTTTGACCGGATTAAATAAACAAGATACAACATGGTGGATTTTGTTACCTTCAGACGGAGCCGGGCTAGCTGTTTCTCCCTGTTTCCAGTCTTTATGCTAAGCGAAGCTAACTGTAAATGGACAAACATAAGCGTGGTAGAAATCTTTTCAGCTAATTCAGCATACTTTTAATGAGTTTTGTTGAAGTTTTAATTGCAGTTTGCCTAAATGTAAACAGTTATAATAACAGGGCTGAAGTCTGAGCCCTCAGCTAACTCACTGACTCCATGGCAACATTGTACAGTACTCTCTGTTTAAATCCCTCTAAATTATGGGAGCATTAGTTCCAAGACTTAGAGCATTATTATCACCCAAAATAGAAGTGAGACAAAGAATAATAAGAGGAGCTACAAAATTCATGATTATAGCTTTTTTCTTGTGATACATGATCATATGATTACAGTACAATTCCCCTGATACATGATAATATTAAATTATCATCCATCTGCTAATGTGTTCTCTCAATACAATTCTTCATGACACTCAAAAGCCTGTATGCATCCTTGTTATAAATATACTTGCTGGAAATGCACATAGCACATGGTACCGTTATGAATTGGGGAACGCGTTTTAATTTTGTTAAAATTTAAACAAACTGAGAATTCGATCCAGAATATATTTTGTCTAATTGATTTCTGTTCTGACTTGGCCGTGTGTTAAGGAAAAATAACACATGAACAAATAAACACACTCCTCTGATTCTCTGTACCCAGAACGGTTACACACCGCTCCACATTGCAGCCAAGAAGAATCAGATGGAGATAACCACCACATTACTGGAGTACGGCGCCTCCACAAACACAGTAACACGCCAGGGAATCACTCCTCTGCACCTCGCAGCGCAGGAGGGCAACGTGGACATAGTGACGCTGCTGCTGGCTCGAGACGCTCCTGTTAACATGGGCAATAAGGTACAAGCTCCTCGTGTTGAAAACTGCCACTGCTGCAGATGTTTGTCTCTGTGCAGATTTGAGGGTCTCACGGGCATTCGTGGTACTTACAGCATGAAAGTAATATTTGTGTGTGCACTATAGACTTGTGTTTAATGGCCAGGATCTTAATTTTACTTAAAAGATGACAGTGTTATTATCCAAGACTCTGTTATTTTGCCAATTATTTATTTTGGCTGTCAGTTTTTAATGTTTTCTTTCACCATAATGAACAAACACTCCCTCTCAGTTATGCTGTATTAATTAAGCACCTTTCCATCCATTTGTCTTTTTGTGTCTTTTTGAGTTTTAAACTGTCTCTCTTCCTCCGTCTTCATCCTCAGTCTGGTCTGACTCCACTCCACCTGGCTGCCCAGGAGGATAAAGTCAACGTTGCTGAGGTCTTAGTCAACCAGGGGGCTACTATAGACCCTGAGACCAAGGTAATGATACTAGTGTCTTCTTGAGGGCTATAGGGATTATCTTTCAAGTCATTTATCAAAGAGAAACGCCAAATATTCACTCGTTCCAACTTCTCAGATGTGAGGATTTGCTCTTTTTTTCTGTTTTATATTGTTACAAATTTAATATCTTTGGTTTTCGGACTGTTAGTCGAACAAATGAGCAACCTGAAGATTCCAACTGGGCGTTGGGTCAATCCCAACCCCCACACTTGTGGTAGTTGCAAGTCGTGGAGTGCCTATTTTTGTGGCGTATTTCCGGTAACTGCCAGAGTCCCCAAGTGGCTGTTAAGACTGCCAGCACGTAGAGGTTTATCAGAGCTCACAAGGACACACTCACATGCAAATACAAATCCAATACACAGCACAACCCAGCTCAGATGATTTATTGGAACAAATAAGTAGGATCAAGCATACAATATTTGAGAGCTGAGAGGAGTAATGCAATTAATAATTAAATTGAGTTATCTAGTAGCACGTACTGTCTTATGACAGTACATAAAAGAGACACAACATCATATCACTTTGAATGTTTTCTGACTGATGAAATTTGTATGAATGCATCTTATTTGTCAAAACCTCTGATATAAAGGATGTGATGTTTATTTATCTTGACAGTTTCAGATATGTGATATTGTTCTTATCAGTCCCAACAAAAAGAATCATTAATATTACACGATAACCATGGGGGCTCTGCTGTAACCATGTAGTGTTTTAACATTTATAATGTAAACCACTTCATGTTTGATGGTTGCTGTTGGTCCTAAAACCAACCCGGTAAGCAGTGCATCATGTTATAAATCCAAGGAATTATTTATAAGTTTTGCTATTGCTTCGTAGCCGAGGTTAGCATTAGCAGCGGTTTACTTATCAGTCTGGAAGAAACATCAAACTTCACGCCTTTACTCGCCAAGAGCTGTCTCCAGCGGAGGAAAGCAACCCTCTTGTTTTGCTTCTGTTTTTATCACTTCTTTTCTTCTACTGAAGTTAGCATGCTAACCAGCTAGACAAGGTCAGCCAATCACTTTCTTATGTCCAGTCTGTCCTGAAGACGTAGCTGCTCAGACGGCGTATTATAACCTCTTTTACCTTTTAAACACAACGATGGCTGAAAGCTCTTGACAAGACTGGAAAGTAAACAGCTGTTCATGCTAACGTTAGCTACGTAGCAATAGAAAAACTTACAAATAGCTCCTTTAAAAAGTAAAAAATTCATATAATAACATATAAATATGTGATGATGATGATGATGATGATGATGATGATGATGATGATGATGTGAGGCACCCATATGATCTTTCCTTTGCTTAACACATTTTATAATTTATTTTCTGCCTTTTCAGCTGGGATACACTCCTCTTCATGTGGCCTGTCACTATGGCAACGTGAAAATGGTCAACTTCCTGCTGAAAAATCAGGCGAAGGTCAACGCTAAGACCAAGGTAACCATTTCACGTGTGTGTATATATATACAGTACATGTGTTCATTTCCTTTTTTGCTGTATGGAGAGGAGATTTGAGCACCTGCATATTTTCAGTGGGTGCAGCATGAATGTATTTTGTTGTGTAACTGTGTTTTCAAACTCTAACCTTTGCCTCTCTGTACCTCCTCTGCAGAACGGTTACACTCCTCTCCATCAGGCTTCACAGCAGGGACACACACACATCATCAACTTGCTGCTACATCATGGAGCATCGCCCAACGAACTCACAGCTGTTAGTATACGCACACACAAACATACACAGACAGACATGTGCAAATACAGTGCTATATACAGTACACAACAGATGTATTAAGTCTGATTTGGCTCATGACCTTTGTTGCTTGCAATCTGTTCTCTTTCACTCCACATTGTGAATCACATTAAGTTCTAAATATTAGTCAAGTTTAATTTCCTGAAAGTGTTTGAAACAAATGACTCACCTTCATTACTTTTTATGTTTTCTGTCCAGAATGGGAATAGTGCTCTGTCCATTGCCAGGAGGCTCGGCTACATCTCTGTAGTTGACACACTAAAAGTGGTCACAGAAGAAACTCTGACCACTCAGGTGCGTATGTGTGTCTCTGCAAACCCCCGGGCTCATATACACATATAGGTCAGCGCTGACACCTGATTAACAGCTTGTCTCTGTTCAACAGACTGTGACAGAGAAGCACAAGATGAATGTCCCGGAGACCATGAACGAGGTGCTGGACATGTCCGACGATGAAGGTGAGGATTTGCTTAACAGCTTCATATTTACAGCTCATTCATGTCTAAATCTGTATCACTTTTAAATCAGTTCTCCACATATACCCTGAGCTCATTCACAAAACCCTGGAGAGAGACACAGAACCTATAAAATCCCAGGTTGAGTCACATTTGGCATTTGATCTGATCCCAGTGCTCGCCTCCTCTGTGCCAATTTTTCCCTTTGTTGTCAAGGAAACAGTTATTTTGTTGTTGCTTCTGAGTAATTCAGGTAAAAAAAAAAGCCAGTATTTTTTTTCCATCATCAACTTATTTCATTTTATTTCATCATTTTATTCCACTCACAATCATGAGTATGATTTAAGCCTTTATTTCCAAAGCTATAACAAGGAGTTTAACAGTCACATAAAGGATATAAATTTGTGCATTAATCACATTAGCATTTTCAATTCTTCCTTTGCCTATGGTTTTGTTATAGATGTGATTTTCCATATTCTTTGGTTTCTTTTTTTTCTCTAACCCTCTCCTCCATCCCAATCACGCAGTCCATAAAGCCAATGTCCCCGAAATGATCACAGAGGAGTATTTTTCTGATGTGGAAGAAGGTATTTTTCATTTTTCTTTCTTGTTTTGTTCTTTAAATCCTCTCTCCTTTTTTTTCCTTCACTTCTTTCTGCATGTCAAAATTTAGTTCTTAACATTTTCCATCTCTAATTTCTCTTTCATTTTTCAGTTAACCTTATTTTAGTGATATCAAGATGTATATGTATTTATTTCATTGAGAGCAGTAAAGTACCTCAGGAGCTTTTAAATTGCAGCCTTTTCTCTTCTATAGTTTTTTTTGTGTATCACACATGTCCTGTGCTGTACATGTGCGATAAACCATGCTGTACTTGAGTACTTTCAGATGTTTCTCCCCCCTCTTTTGACTCTCTCATGCTGTGTTGTTGTAAAGCCTCCAGTATTTTCATGCATCAAAATGCAGGGAATATGCCTCTCTACTGGTTGCCATGCCAACTGTCTGCATATGGCGTTGTGTAGTGTGTAACAGATTTCTTTTCACACTGTGGAGACTAGAGTGCGCACACACTTGATCCTTTGTCTTCGGAGGCTTGTCGGTGACACTTCTATTGTAGCTTCACACATTCAGGCCAAAGCAAACATGGTGTCAGCTGCTGGAGTGTGTGTGTGTGCATGTGTGTGTGTGCATGTGTGTGTGTGTGTGTGTGTGTGTGTGTGTGTGTGTTTTCTCCTGGTCTGGCTCAAAGGTGGCTGAATTTGAACTTTTTACTGATTGCTCCTGATGAGCTGCAGCCTGGGGAAGGGGAAAAACTAGGAATTGATATATTGAGATTTTTCAGTCAATAGTTTGTTTCATTTTCGCTTGGCTCATCGTGCCCTTCGGTGTTCCTGCTAAACAGTGTGCATTGATGGTAAAGAATGGTAGGCTTTCATTTTTAGGTTGTCACATGCTTCTTAGTGTCTGCAGTTGCCAGTTTTTATAGCTGCTAAATGTCAGCAGCCTGCAGAGCAACACAATTGAAACAGTTCACCTTCCCAGAGTGCTTACAGATGTGTGGACGGATATCTTGAGATAAGCAAGTGTGACATCTTTTCTAATGGTCAGAGACAACCTCTGCTGCTGTCATTTATATTTAACACAACATATGTATGCAATATTATGTAACACAGAGCTCTATATAGAATGGCCTGCCTGTTTAGGTGCCACAAAGTGTGCACCTATACAATGAATTTTAGCCATTTGTCTGAATATTTTGGAGACGCCACAGTGAAACCTTCTGCTGAACTAAGCTTAGAGTGGATGGTGAGAAAGAGAAAATAAGACCGAGACAGAATTTTAAGAGGGGAAAGGGTCAAGACCTTCAAATCGGACAAGGAAAAACTCTACAACCCAACAGAGGAGGGATCCCTCCTCCAGAACAGACAGATATGCAATAGATGTGTGCAGAATAGAGCAACATAGTAGATTTACGGAATTGAGAATCAGCCGGACAACATTATAGATCATAAACATTAATGAAGAATATGATTTGGGAGGATATCGAGTAACTTCCAGGTACTGCCAACAGATAGGACCTAAGCAACATGACCTCCATGAAGACCTGGAAAAGAGAACAGAATTATACAAATATACAAGAGGTAAAACCAAACTCACCAAACGTATACATCTAGGAGAAGGAAACAAACAGACAGAGGGAGAGAGAGACAAGGAGGAGGTTGGGACTCCTGGAGGATGAAGATCCAGATCCAAAACATCTGTAGTGACGCATTGACATCCAGGAGAGGGACAGAGTTCCCAGGTCAGCCGGTAGTCCAGCACAAAGTGAAAATAGAGAACAGGGAAGAGAAAATACAGGGATAGAGAGAGAGAGGGAGAGAGAGAGAGAGAAAGAGGGGGGAGGCAACACAGCCTGGACACTTGTGCTTCAGGGAATAAACAAACACAACATGGACTATACTGTACGCACTAGGTTTAATGGTTTCATTTAGACTGGCAGGAGAATCCTACAGCTACTACCAGAACCTGAAGTAATCAAAGAGTAAGCTGCTAACTGAAAGTGAAGGCGTAAAGATAAGTTTTAAGTTTGGATTTAAAGGACAGTCTGATGTCAGCAGAGGAAGGAGGCATGATAGGAAAAGCCCCTGCAGTCTGCTGACTTCTTTTTAACTCTGAGGACAGACATGAGCCCTGTATTCTGAGAGCCAACAGCACGGGATGGAGTGTAAGGTTTAAGGAGATCAGACAGGTATGAGGGGGCAAGCCCGTTTATGGTTTTTTTGTCATTAGAAATATCTTAAATTCTGGTAATGTGGTCAAAGTTTCTGGATTTAGTTAAACATATAGCCACAGCATTCTGAACCATTTGAAGACTTGTGAATTAAAAGACCAAATTATATATATATATTGGAGCTATGTTACATTGGTGAAGGGTGATCTTGCTAATATCTTTAATGTGCTGATCAACAGAGAGAGCTGGATCAAACGTAACACCAAGGTTCTTGGCTGTCATACTTTGAGAAATCACACAGTTGTTGAGGTTTACTGTTACTTGTTTAAACCGGTGTCTAACACAAACCCTAACCCTGCTGGACCAATGACCAGCATCTCAGTTTTATCTGAATTTTTGAGCAGGATTTTTTGTGACATTCAGCTTTTCATGGCAGACATATACATGGCCTCTAATATAATCATTTGGGAAGGGTCATCATCAGCTTTTACAGGTAGATACAGCTGAGTATCATCAGCGTAACAGTGGAAATCTATAACATGACTGCATTTAATTTGGGAGAGCCCTGGGGTACTCCATATTTCACATCAGAAAGTATTGATGTAATATTATTGTAGAAACCACACTGTGTTGTTTCAGATAACTAGAACTTAAACCGTGTGAGAGCCAGGTCAGAGACGCCAATTTGGTTTTCCAAAAAATCCAGACTGCAAAAATCATAAATAAATGGTTGAAGGTGTGTTTCTGCTTTGTTTAAACAGAAATGGATGTTGGAAATATCTGCATCAGCTATTCCTGTAAGTTTAAAAAACATGGTGATGTCAGTGCAACTAACTCTAATAACCAGTCTGAAGTGGCTCAGCTAAACTGATGGGACTAAATACTGCGTGTGTGTGATTTTCTCGGCATTTTGTATATGTGTATTTACAGTATGTGCATGTTTGCCCTCTCTCTGAAGTTGTGTGGGAGTTGTTGTTTTTGTTGAACAGGTTTAGCAGAGTGTCCATCTTTAATTTCTGATCTAAAAATACAACACATGTCACACATACCAGCTGAGAAACAGCAATGATTAACATCTCCAATAACACACACAGTCCAGGATCTAAATCTGGACGGCTCACACACCCTGTGAAGCCTTCTTTAAACTGGTGTGGGCTGCCCAAAGAATTTTTCCAGAGTTGTAAAGTTGATTGATATTTTGATTTAAAATCTAAAACATCCGACATTTTTTTAAAACTTTTTTGATCTCTCTGATTCACTGTTTTGTTCTCATTAATGCCACTCCTTCTTTTAATTCACTCTCTGGCTTGCTCGCCCACCGCTGCTCTCTTTCTCTCTCGCTCTCTCTCTCCCTCCCTCTCTCCCTCTCTCTTGCTCTTGCTCATTGAGCTGAGGAGGAGGGGCCAACTTTGAATGGTGTGTTTACAATCAGCAACCAACCAATCCTGCATAGTGTATCTTTAGTGTTGTGCGTAATACCACCTAACAACCTGCACTGCTACAAAATACAGCTGCACGGGCAGAACTTTTATTTTGAAATGCATTTATGTGAACATTCAGTGTATATAAATCAGTGTAACAACTCAGCACTGCTACAAACACAACTAAACAGGCTGGCACTCAAAGAACCAGCCGACCAGCTGGTTTGATGCAGATGGCCGAATAACCAGTCATGGTTGTCCAAAAAAACCATGGTTTGTCTTGTATTCTGACCCAACATATGCCTCCTCCCTGGCATATGCTGGGCATGTGATCCAAGTATGGGCTGAGTATTTTTGCTATCTGGGGGGCCACCGTGCTGCTGAGTTATAAGAGTCTTAGTTGGTTGTGGACTCTTGTCACCCGCCTCTCCTTGTTCCTCCTCCTCAAACCGAAGAAGTGGCTGATTCTTTTGAAGACTGAGCGCTTCTTTTTCTTCTGTGGGAGCTTCTCCTCGGAGACCGTTGGCTCTGGCTCCCGTTGTAGGGCTTGCGACGGTGTGAGAAGCTCCTCCTCCTCCTGCTCCTCCAGATCCTCTGTTGGTTGGTCAGTTTCTCTCTGCAGGGCCTGGTCGACCTCTTCCTCCGTCCTGAGCGGTGACATGCTCACAGTTGGTTGAAGTCAGGTCCTCCATTTTTGGTTTCAGCCCCTGGATCAGCTCCTCATCCTCTATCACTCCTGGTCCTTTCTCTCCCTTTTATCATGAGACTGTCTCTCTTCTTCCAGTTGTTGCTGAAAGGTATCGTCATGATGGTCGAAACTGTACAGCCAGTTTCTGCTGGATCTGGAAGAGCAGATCTTTTGACAGAGTTTTGTATTTATTTGTCTTTGTTTCCAGCATTGTAGAGAGCTCACTCACTTTTTCGTCCTGAGAGGCAATGTGTTGCTCTTCTGCCATGAGCTCAGCCTTCAACATCTCAACCTGGGCGGTTACAGCCTTATTTTCTACATTGCAGTTCCTCAGCTTGTCAACCAACTTTTTGGAGCTAAAGGCTGATACAACTTGTTGAAAGGCCATCTTTGTCACTCTCAGTGATGTTTGGTTTTGTGTCCTCAAAGATGTCTTCCTTTCTTTCTTCCTTCCTTTCCTCAAAGGCTTCTTCTTGTTTTCTGATTGGCGTGCCACTTGTCCGAAGGTCTGAAGTGAAATGTCTGTCTGAACACTGGCTGCTGTATATACAGTAAATACCTGCCATAGAATGTTACCATTGGTAACTTGCTGTTATTATGGTACGAATGCTGGAGGAATCTCTGTCTATTTTCTCCGTTTTGAATTTTCTCAGATATATATAGATATCTTCCAAAAAACTTTGCAGTCGACACACAGCACAAGTATGAAGTCGATCGGATGATCAGTTGTTGAGAAAATCGAAATACAGACAGATTCCTTCATTTACAGTTAGATGCATTGAAAAGGTTGCTCTGACCACATCAAGACATCAGAGTTTTGAGAGATAGACTGTGCAAGTGAATCATAGCGCCACAAAGTTATATTTTTCATTTATTTATTTACACATAAAAAAATATGATTGTTTAAAAAAAGATATGTACACAGGGAAATTAACATATATACAAACACTTTTACCTACATACATTCATATGTACATTAATTTAAAAAGATTATTAAAAAAAAAAAACCTACATATGCATATAAAGACAATTCAACAACTCCCATCAGCTGCCTGTGCCACTCTCATGTTTTCTGGCCATAGACACATGGAAACAAGATGTACACGCCAATGTGGTATCTACTTGTAGAGTATCAGCCAGTGTGCTCTGCATCATTTCATGCTGTATTCTGATTGGTTTGTACAGTAGCAGTCGTCAAAACTGTGAGATGTTGTACATAAATTTCTGACACTATAACCACCAAAGCTCTAAATCAGCTGTCGGTGGATAATGCCATCTAGAGCCACTATTCTGGATGGATGACAAAAGATTTTACCACCTCTCTCTCACAGTCTTAAATTGCACAGTGTGTAATGGTCTTTACTCAGACAGACTGGAAACTTGCCCCAAAAGACCTAAAAAGACTTATTTGACCTATCAAGAATTGTTTAGACTAGTAAAGACAGGCTGAACACAGCAGTCTGTCAGCTGCAATACAAAGACAAGCAGGCAGATACTGTTTCAGATGGAGTTTTTTTTTTTTCAAATCCTTATAAGATGGATGCAGAGTTATGAATTTCTAGTATCACTGTCTGACATGTGCGTTGACTCACAGAAGCAGCTGGAGGAGTGAGTGGAAAACACAGAGATCAAGAGGGAGGAGGATGAGGTTATTTGTATGCAAAGAATTTGTAGAATTTAGTAGATTGAGAGACAAACGAGCAGACAGACAGGTAGAGCAAGGAGAAAGGAAAAAGAGGAAAAGAAAGAGAAAGACAGTCTATAAACAAAACCAGTGCACCAACCATGAAATATGAAGTTGCAAGATCAAGAAATAAAAGTTAGGAAGGGCAGTGAGGATAAATGCTGTTCTGTATGTAGGACTATAGACACTGCATAGGTAGAGTTTAGATGTTAGACAACTTGGTCTGAGTCACACACCCACTTACTATTTCTGTCCTGCAGTGAGATCTAGGTGTCTGTTCAGAAACTCACACACACACACACACACACACACACACACACACACACACACACAGAGTGGATAATCCTAGAGCAGGGTGGGTAGGCGGGAGAAAGCTGATCTGTTTGTGTGAGCGCCGGGCTGTGAAAGAGAGATAGACGGTGCATGCAGGAGAGAGCGGCAGAGAGCTGAAGGGAGGTTACAAGTCAAAGAAAAGTTAGTTCAGGGTGAAATCCTGCAAACTGGACGGCCGGCTGAATGAAGTGCTTTAAAGCAGGAGGTGAGTCGCGGGTCTTGCCGCTCAGGAGGGGTTTGCTTTTTCGTTGGAGCTCAAATGAGCAGGGATCCCGGAGAATGGGCTGGAATGTCGCCAGATGGGGTCGGTAAAGTGTGTGTGTGTGTGTGTGTGTGTGTGTGTGTTTGTGTGTGTGTGTGAGAGAGAGAGAGAGAGAGAGAGAGAGAGAAGAGAAAAGTTTAAGGGGGGGTTGCTGTAGCAGCAGGGGGTGAGGGACAGGGGAGGGGTGGGGGGGTCTCCTCCTCTCCAGTGCTTTGTGATTGCTGGAATGCCTTCCTTTTCTTTCCCTTGGTTTCTCCGCCTGCATGCACTTGCTCCTCCTCTCCTCACTTCTCTCTCTCTCAACTCTGCGGTCACCGGTTCATCAGTAGGCTAGGATCTACAGTACACCAGAGGGGAATAACATGCTGCTAACTGTGTTCCTGCTAGGCCTCTAACGTATGTTTCAACTCTTTAAACACTTGTTTTATAGCTTGAGTGATTTGCTAGCTGAAATGACACTGAGCTCTGCGGTGCTGACTGTTTTAATTCACCTTAACTGGAAATATTGTCCTTTGTCAGTGAAACCTGCTCAAAAGTAACATTAGCTAATAACTAGTATATTTGAAGCTTTTAATTACTGTTAAGTCACTAAACTAACCGGACATAACAAGTTATTGACAGCAGCATTATTTTTTGTTTGCAAGCTTTACTGGTTAGTGTTGACATGCCAGGGGGCTGAGACAAAAAGCTTTTAGTGACAGCAAGACTTTTGTTTGTGTGTGTTTGTTGGACCAACGCTGAACTGGAAAACAGCCTCTGGGCAGAGGCTGAATTGATCTGTCTGTCTAAAAGAGCTGCTCTGTAATGGTCCGTGTTGACGACAAAAACAAGAAATGCTCACTGGAGCCATTCATAGAATTTCCCATTTTTACACAAATGGCGGTAAAGCTAGTCCGTCATGGCTAAATATTGAGGATCTCAGATGAAGCAGGATATATGTACTGCGCAAGCAAAGCTGGACAGTAGTTATGGAGGGAGGGGAGAATATTACTTGTTCATTCTCTGTACGCTTAGTTTCCTCACCAGCAAGTTTTGGACACATACCCTGGAAATGCAACTTATTCTCCCTTTTTGTAAACTTTCTTCTGCCTCGTGTGTTTCAAACCTCCAGGTGACGATGCAATGACGGGGGACACGGACAAATATTTGGCACCCCAGGACCTGCGAGAGTTGGGGGACGACTCACTCCCTCAGGAGGGCTACATGGGCTTCAGTGTCGGTGCACGGTCACAAAGGTAAGACACACCACTGTATGTTACATCTCAGTCAACAGCCAATGTAATGACTATTTATATGTTTGTTAATGTACATGTAGCATGTTAATATTAATTGCTATGACATACATTACTCACAAAATGAGAAGACTCTCAGTGACCTCTGAGATGTGTAAAGGCCCAGTCACAACAGCTTTTAAAACAGTAAAATTTTGAACAACAATCTAGTCGTTCTAAAGGCTCATAGGGTTGAAGCAAATTCAAGTACTATGGTGAATTTTGACATGCAAGTTTGGGCTGCTGACCAGTAGCAAACAGTTTAGACAGAGCTGAGGAGAAGGCTGTTGTAACTGTGTAGCACCATCAAGTTTTTATTCATTTATTTACTGGATTGTTTAAAGGAGCTAGTAAGCTAGCAAGCTAGTAAGTTTTGCTATTGCTACATAGTGGGCGTTAGTATTAACAGCTGTTAACTTACCAGTCTAGAAGAAATGCTGTGAGTTCAGAATCAAACTTCATTCCTGTACTCGCCAAGAGCTGTCTCCAGCGATGGAAAACAACCTCTTGTTTTGCTTTTATTTCTATCACTTCTTTTCTTCTATTGAAGTTGGCATGCTAATGAGCTAGCTCTGGCCTCCTCGGCATGTCTTGTCACTTTCCGATACCGAGTCACTTTAGCATCCAGTGTGCCCTGAAGCAGTAGCACTTCTCAAAGAGCGTATTACAACCTCTTTTATTGTAAACACAACAATGGCTGAAGCTCTTGGCAAGACTGGTAAGTAAACAGCTGTTAAAGCTAACGCTGGCTATTTAGCAATACCAAAACTTGGCTTAATTAGCATGCTGTAAATGCACCAGAGTTAGCCAAGAGGATATTTTTCATCTGTAGTCCCTGGACATAAGTTACAAAGTCATCCTAAAAACAGAATATAAAAACATAAGATTAAAATCACACAGTTGATGAGCATGCAGAGCAATAATAAAAAAAAGTATTGAAATGGGAACATCAATGTTAATAGAAATATGGACTAAATAGCTAATAGCTTAGCAACTGGGCTAACAAGCTTTAGTGAGAGTTGGCAAGCATGCTAGCTCAGAGATCTCTTTTTTTTCCTGCTTTCGATGAGTTATGTGCAATCCCAATAACAAAATGCAGAAAAAATAGAAAGACGGCAAATGTGGCATACTATCACTAGAATGTTTTTAGCTGGATAGTGAGTCGTCCTTACGTCATCAAACTTCAACAAACCACACAAAATATTTAACAAAGTGTGTGGCCACTTCATGGTGTGACTTGACCTTAAAATACAGATAAATTAGTTGCAGGATTTCGCATAAAAATGGTGAATTGTGGTGTTTGTTTGTTTTTTTAATCGCTAGCATATGACATTACCACTGTAGTCGTCTTTGTTTTTGATTGGTATTACAGTTAATTTAGGAGATACACTGACTTATGGCATGTGGAAGAGTCTTTTTCAAAGCTCCAAGAAACACAGTGATTTCTTGATAATGTCATCCGGTGTGATTAATAGGGTGACAGGGTTACACTGTAGGCACATGAACTATTAGTCTGTAGCAGTACAAGAAGTCTTGTGAAAGCTCATGATCTAAAAAACATTTTCCCACACAAACAGTCACAAAGAGCTGTCAGGGCCGAAACAGCAGTTTTTTTGCAGTTTGATATGCATTTTTTTCTCAAAACATTCTGGTAAAGTCTCACTATCCAGATATTACCCAGAAGAAGTCTCCCGACCACACACACACACACACACACACACACACACACACACACACAAACACACATTTCCCCCTCACAAGTGGGAGGTCATAGTTCGCTCTCTGTCGCTGTTGAACTTTTTCTTCGCACGAAAATATTGACACTTGTGCAACACGCTGAAGAGGGAGGGGTTATTGAATATCTGAGGAGTGACACACATGGACACTGAGCCACAGGAAATTAGAAACATGTTCGATTGCATGGCCTTGAGCAGTGGGTTAGATCAACACACACTGTTTGAGTGAGAGGGGATGTGGGAATGTGTGTGTGGCGGGGCAGTTAAACCAAGTTTAGAATTGGTGTAACAAATTTCTGGTCCTCCGCAGAGATGGGTTTAAATTGCTTCCAGTTCAGTCAATTTAGGAAGGGAATGGATTTATAAAATATCAGAAACTGAACATCCCTTTTCAGGTTTTTATATCTAATTATTATTTTTGGCACAATTACTGAATTGAAAGAAAATAGTATTTACTATATGTCATGTTTTTTCTTTTTTTCTCAGTGATTATTTGCATTAGCATTTTCACTTTTAACATTACAAAATGGATGTGTAAATATCTCATTTTAAAATTTCCCTTTAATTTGATGATACTATAGGTTTGTGTTACAGCCGTCAGTTGGAATTAATTCACTTCACTTCATTACTGAGAAGTCAGTTTGGTATGGGAAATGGCTCTAAAGACCACAATACCCATGAGCCTCAGCTTCAAAGAAGTCAGAAAGAGGTGTGTAGTAAAACAGAGCACAGGAGAGTAGAAACACGACTGCTGGATGTGTAAAGAGGCAATTGTTTGTCAATACTTTTGCCATAACAATGTAGATAATACAGTCTTTTGCACTCAATATTCATAAAGGAGAGTTTTGTGCCTCTTCAGGCCTTGGTAGTTCCAAAAATGTCAGTTACCTAACATTATCTATGCAGAGAATGAACTTTTACATCTGGAATCGTGAACACCTGAAATAGCTCCTCCCTCTTCACGTCTCTGTAATAAATCATTAAAATTGAGATAATTGAGTGTTAATGTGAGTGAAAATTTGGAGTTTATAAGTTGTAAATTAGACATATGCTCCAAGTTTTAGTCAGAGAGCGAGCAGTGAGGATGCCAGGCAGGACGACAGGTGGTCAGTCAGTCAGTTGGTCAGTTAATCAGTCAGTCAGTCAGTCAGTCAGTCAGTCAGTCAGTCGGTCAGCATCTGCCATCACTCAACCTGCATCTCTGCTCTGGCTTTGTTCCTCACTGCATCTCTCTGTCCACTCCTCTGTTTGTTCATGATCTTTTATTCTCTCCTCATGTCCGTTCTTAATGTTAGTCCCAAAGTCAGGTAAGGCTGAAGGCATGAAGAGGCCTCCCTACACCTCCCCTGCCCCCACCCCACCCATCTCACACCTTTCCCTCCACCTACACCCTCCTACACACCCCCAGACCCCAGTCCCTATCAATATCATGACTTTGTGGTCCAATGTAATACATATTTACTGTGTATGTTTGACTACTAACTAATGATTTTGAGTATTTTGGTTGTTTTTTTTGACACTGTTGTATGTTAACATCAGACACTGTGTTGTGTACTGTGGTTCACTTGTGTGATCTTTCTCCTGTTTCTTGCTTTCAGTTGAAAAAAAGCTCAGCAGGGTTGTTCGCTCATAGAGAATACCCTGTTGCGTTTGCTTTTGTGTTTGACTGTGGTGACCGTATTATTTATGCCTGAGGTCTTTGTGTGTTTCACCACAAAGGTGGAGCTTTGCATCATTTTGGTTTCTGTGTGGAGTATTTCTTCATCGAGCTTCCAGGGACCTGAACTGATATATCCGGAGACAATAGGGATGCTATTGCCTTCATCAGTTTAGTGTCATATAGTTTATGACAAAGAATGGACAGTGCAAAATAATCAAATCTCTCTGTGCCTTGCGTCAAGAACTGTTACTCTTGAGAAGGATATATGCTTTTAGTACAAAAACGTACATTTTTTTTACATGTTCAAAAAGTATAATTTAACCGTGGAAATATTTATATTTGAAAAGAAACAACAAAAGGTTCATTGGACAGCAGGATGGCATTTTATGTTTTGCCAACAAGCAACGAAAATTTGTCTTTGACTGAGCTCACAGTGTACACATAGAGTAACAACATACACACAAAGTTATAAACAAAGAGTCCAGAATAGTATGGCTGTAAAGGAAGCGGAAAAGCACAAATAAATGCATGTAGGGTACTAAGTCATTCACTGCTCGTTGCTCATGTTAATGCCAGTTGGAATGAATGAGTAGTTGGCCACTATCCTTTTCTATTTTACAGTATCTATGCAGATGTATGCAGTGGCCCCTAAACACACAGCACGTACAAGACAGAAAGCACAAACATTAAGGGAAACAAATATGAAAACACATGCAGCTAGAATCGCTACACCAGACGTCCTCCAGGACTCTAGGGGGAGCGATGAGCTCGATCAGCAGAGCAAGCAGACTTTTTCAGGGGAAAACAGACACGTCTGTTATCCAATCTGTAATATATGTAACGAAATTGAATGTAGACTGCGCTGCCTGTGTTTATTTTCATTCATATATATTTATTTTTTCTTGAAATATGGTTGTACATCTGTATATATTACAACCCCAAAGTCCACAGAAGCAGCACTGCTGTTATTAAACTGTCCAATAAAACCTGTATTTATTATCTTTTCAGCTTTATCTTCAGACAAACTGGCAGCAACAAATATTACAGTATATTTCAACACCCAGACCAAATATGATCTTCCAAAAGGAATTACATCATATATCAGAACACTACAGGCAACAGAGCCAGAGCTAAATTACCAAAGGGCTTACTGAGAAAGGACTTGTTCTCCTCTGGTCGACCAGCCAGTCATGGAGCTGATAGGACTATGGCCATTCTGTGTGTGTGTGTGTGTGTGTGTGTGTGTGTGTGTGTGTGTGTGTGTGTGTGTACCATGTTGTTCCACAGAGCACTTCCTCTGCACACAGACTAATTGGTTTTATTTGTGTAGAGCAAACAGCGTCGTCGTAATTGTGGATGATGTTGCAAGCAAACATTCATCACATGTCATTGCTGAGGAATGCTCTTTATTTGCCCCATAAAAGTCTTTCTCGAAAACCATCGCAACAAACAGTCACTGGAAAAAAATTCACTGGGACAGAAACTTCAGCTTTTATGAAGGATCTACAGTTTAATCTGGATTTATGGTCAAAAGATGAGTATGTGCAAATCATTTCATCATGACGGCCAACACAAGCTTCCTGTCCCAGCACTGTGTCCATTGTCCATCATACAGTAATCTACTTAACTTTCATAAGCTACTCTGCCTCACTCAGGCTTTCAGGGCGTTCACATTGTGTGCTGGCTTGGTGTGAAGAGCCAAGTTGAAGAGGCTAAAAAGCTGTAATTGTCAGAACAGGTGTAGACAATGTAGTGACTGTTATGACCAAACATGTTTTTTTCCACTACGTTCACAAGCCAAGAGGTATTATTTGGAAAATCAGACAGCACTGACTGCATTTGCATCTGGATTTCTGGAGTTTATCTGGTTACTTAAGATGTTTTTTGTTGCCTCAGACATATTAGTAGTCTTCACGCACCAATTTCTTTCTTGAATTCCCTCCTCAAGAAGGTTCTTTCTTGCCTTGTGGTTGTTGTTTGTTGTCACTGGTGGCATACAGTCAGGTTCCTGGAAGCTGCATGCATTTAATGTGTTTATGTTTGTTTTTTCTGTTCACTTTCATACCACCCTCCTCCCTCCCCCCTTACACCCACACCCCTCCCAACTCCTCCTCACTTCCCCTTCTCCATCATTGTGACTGTTGTCTTGGTAATCCGTGACTGCTACGGCAACCACACCAAGCCTGCGTTCCTTCAGTTCTGATAGGTCCAACACGCTGAACCGGAGCTCGTTCACTCGCGACAGCATGATGATAGAGGAGATGCTGGCCCCCAATAAGGAGATGGTACGTACACATGACTGGCTGTATAGGTGTTTAAAGGTTACATCTCTTTTTTTGTCTATCTCTGTCTGCATTTCTCTCTCTCACTCTCTCAGTCGGTGAGTAATCCGCAGGTCATTAACTTCAAAAGAGACACAGTTCTGTCTCCAAATGTGCCAAGCTGTGTTGGTGCTGTGCCAAAAGCCAGGCTATTCGCCAATCCTCTTACACCTGAGTTGGTGCTGACATAAAGACAACCAATCCTGTTACATTTTACTGAAAGAGGAAAATGAGATTAGTGGTTAGTGCGGCTATCTAGGAGGGATTACTGTGATGGCCCACTTTCTTTAAGGAGGCAGCAAAATGGCACTTAGGGTAAAACGAAACTTATTGTAGAATAAATCCCGAGTCTCCCATCAGTGGACTGTGCTGTTTTTATACGCATCAAAATAAAAAGTAAATCTTTGGATGTACAGTATATATCAGGTCATGATTCAGCATGAAGGATTGGCCAGAGTTGCTTGCATAGGCAGCAGCTGAAGTATATCTCAGTTTCTTAAAATGTCAAATTAGCACTCAACACGGACCACCTGGTATCCCCTCCAAACAGGTACAGAAAGGTGCCCAGCATCAAATGCACAAGACAAGATGAACTCTGTGTGTAGACAGGGCCGGTGGTGTTCGAAAAATGTCAATATTGTTGGTAATAGGATACGCAAGTTTCACCACTAATGGCACCTTTCTTTCTTTGCCTTCGTTTGGAAAGTTCTTCTTCTTTACCTGATATCTTTGCACTTCACCTTATTGAATAGGTTTTGTTCTTAGTACTTACTTCAAAGTCCCCTACTGCACTGAAGCTTCAGTCCCTCACTTGTAAGTCACTTTGGATAAAAGCTTCTACCAGATGAGTAAAGGTCAATGTTATCGTCATGTGTAAAATCAGTGGCGTGCCCCTTTAAGGTTGATCATTGAAAGCCTCAGAGGGATAAATATATTGAACATTTTTCAATTGGAAAGCAATTAGACAGTGAATGTTTGGTCGAAGTATTGCTGTGTATCAGTGGGCTAAACAAAAACTGCTGTTAGGAGTTTGGACATGCTCCACTATACCAGTGAGAGACATCATGCTGCACAGTAATTTGAAAGAAAGCCTAAGAGGAACGCGGTTATACGCTTTGTGAATGTAGCAGCTGCTGAATAACGGCTCGTCTCCTCTCACGCTGCTTCAGATGCTCTGCAAGGAAAGGTCGTTCATTGTAGAACACAATAAGGTAGATGTTCAAGTGGTCATGCACTCATTCTGTCAGCGCATGTGAGAAAACGTCATTCAGTTTCTGTTGTCACTTCTTATTTACAGTATAACATTCTTTTTCAGTTCAGTTATACCATCATATCTTCTTTGGCTTGTGTTGTTTTTTTTTTTTTTTTGCATGTGATGTTGGTTCCTTTCTTTCTTTCCTTCCTTAAAGTCGTGATTTTTCTCTTGAAAGGTGATTATTCTGTTTATGTTTTGCTTTTTTTTTCGCTGATGATCTGAATTTCATTAAGATGACAGTCACAAAACCAGCTTTAACTTCTACTAGAGCAGATTTATGTGTCAGTATTTGTGTGTCCTGGAGAGCTTTTCTTATTTTTGAATGTGATGTTTCTACCAGCAGGACATTTTAGAAGGTTGACTTCATAGTGTTTTCTAAATGTGCCTCTTTCTGCTGCGCATGGCTTCTTTAAAAGAGCTTTTTGGTGTTTTACATCGTTTGATTTCTTCACATATTGATGGATCATTTCTCCACCCTCGTCTTGTGCACACACGGGATTCCCCAGCAACCATCATGCACTTACATGCACTTTCTTCTGCTTTGTATTGACTTTGTTTTCTCCTTCGCAGCATTTGGCGGTGGCTAAGGACTTTGACAGCGAGTCTCTGAGGAGGTACAGCTGGACTGCAGATGCACTGGATAATGTCAACCTAGTCTCCTCACCAATACACTCTGGGTAAGCACCTTTGGATGAATGGATGAAAAAAACCAAAGTATGTTTATGTGAACTCTGTTTTCAGCTTTTAGCGAAAAAGAAGGAGGGAGGGCGGTTACAAGACAAATGCTTGTCTTTGTTTCCACCGACCTGTTTTGTATATTCTCTGTCTGTCTTCCTTCCCAATTCTCTCTCTCTCATTTTGTCTCCCCTCGAGAAAACGGCTCCTACCTGCAGCGCTTTCTCTTCATCCTCTCTGATTGTCTGTTCTTTTCAAACTGTAAAGCTTATCTGTTAGCAAAAGTTACACTTCCTCTATTTCCCTAATTACCATGTAAGGATATGGTAAAGTGATAAAAACATACAGTACTGTGCAAAAGTTTTAGGCACTAAAAGTAAAGTGAGGATGCTTTTTACAGTTATATTGATTAGATAACGTAATGCAAACAGATAAAAACTCTGTGACCGTCCTTTGCCTGTAAAACAGCACCTGTTCTCCTTGGTATGCTCGTGCACAGTTTTATTTGGCAGGTAGGTTTTCTCCTTGTTATTCTTGTCACTGAAGATAGATCTTTATGACTCTGGCTGTATGTTTTAGATCATTTGTATCCTGTAGAATGAATTTGGGGCCAATCATGGAGAAGAATTGAAACCTCTCAAGGGCTTAAAACCTTTGCACAGCACTGTGTATCCTTAGAAACTGCTCAAGGCCACTGCTAGAGAGAGAGTTTCTCTATAACCAAATGCAAAAATCTGACCAGTGCTCACCTGGTAATAAAAGTCAGGTGAATTCTTGGCCTTGCAGCAGCAGTCCCACCAGTGATTCACCTAATTATTGAGATGAAGGAGCTGCAACTTAGAACTTAAGTTTGACATTTTGGGAAATATACTAATTCACTTCCTGGCAGAGAGTTAGATGAGAAGATTGATGCTTCTCGTGTCTGTCGGGCAAATAAAATAGAAGAAAAAATGAAGCCACAGCCGTGTGTCGGTTAACTTAGCTTAGCACAAAGTCTGGAAACAAGGGGAAACTGCTAGCTCACAAATGAATATGTTGTATCTCCTTTGTTAAATCTGTACAAAACAACTATTCCAGTCTTGGTGCTAAGCTAAGCTAACCGCCTGCTGGTTTTAGCCTCACAGTTCGCTTACAGATATGAGAGTGGTATCAATTCCTTCATGTAACTCTCCGCCACAAAGCAAATTAGCATCATTCCAAAAAATGAAAGGACTCCTTGGTAATCATCTTCTCAGTGGTGTTTTCAATGACAAAGCTGTGTTGTTGACCTGTCACTCCTGCGTTGCTTTGTCGTCCATCCTGCAGTTTTTCCTCTCCGCTCCCGCAGTACGACAGCAGGTGATTGACTGTGATTGGTTGCTCCTCTTTATTACCACCTCTACCTTGTTTCTGGTGACATCACACCCCCTCCCTCCCCCTTCCTCTCTGTTCACTCCATAACATCAGTGTTTGCTCTCCTCACACGTGAACTGTGTCGTTACTTGTGTTTATTCGGAAATCTTTGCGAGTCTCTAACTGATCTGAAAGAACTTATGTTGAGTGGTGTTTGGAATGACATGGACTTCAGTTACAGCTGGATCTGGATGTTTTTACATTTTCCACCGGCAAGTTCTGCTCTTTGACAGTTAAAACAGACTCAAACATTCATGGATCAGTAGTTATACATATATATTTCAACAGGTCACATTAAGTGTCAGTTTGTGTGAATCTTTGCCTTTGCTCTAGACTTAATCAAACTTTTCAAAGGAATAATTCAGGCACTATTTGTTCAGCAGCCACATGCATACTAACATGACACCTCAGTTACCAGATTGCATGGTGTGAATCTGTGTGTGTGAGTTTTGTGAGTTCCTTCTTTAAGTTACAATGAATTACACACATCTACACAGATTCCCTTCTAATATTGGTAAAACACAGGATACACCGGAGGCTCCTGTGTTGGCATCTTGGCTGTCTGATTCTTAAAGCATCCACACACAATAATAGAGCATTTATTGACATTTTTGTCAAAAAAGGAAGAATAATCGTTTAATTTAAGAATTTGGAAATGGATGTGGCAAAACTCTGACATCTACTTGGCAAAGTTTTTTTTCTACTTGTGCCACCACAGCCACAGCCAACACAGAAAACTCCTCACACATCTCTTCTTTCTTTCTTTTTCTCTCTACTCTTTTGCTCACACTTACTTTTGTGTGTGTTTTGAGGATCACAGCATGGGAAGCGATCACCCCAACTAAAGCTCCTCTCTCTCCATCAATACTGCTGTTAAACTAATAAAACTGTATATTTGACATCTTATTCCATTCCTCTTCTATATCTTTCCCTATCTCCCTCTCTGGTTGTCTCATTTTCTCCCCACATGCTGCTCTTTCTCTCACTGTTTTATTTCCTGTCTTTTGCTTCACGTTTCTCTCTGTTTCCTATCACTCCTTGTCTCCTTCCTCTTTCTCTTCTCCCTTTTTCTTCCTTCTTCGCTCTCCATCAGGTTCCTGGTCAGCTTCATGGTCGACGCCAGGGGCGGCTCCATGAGAGGAAGTCGTCACAACGGCATGCGCATCATCATCCCGCCGAGAAAGTGCACGGCGCCCACCAGGATCACCTGTCGACTGGTCAAGAGGCACAAACTGGCGTCGCCTCCTCCGATGGTGGAAGGAGAAGGCCTGGCCAGCCGACTGGTCGAGGTCGGTCCGGCAGGAGCTCAGTTCCTCGGGTAAGACTTCATTTTTCTTTTTAAACCTCACTGATGTTGATGGTAATGTTTGCTTAATTGCTTATTTTAGTGCACTTTAGCTCGATGACTTGACATCTCCTTCCTTCTGCTTCTTGCCATCGCCATCTCCAACCATCTGCGTTCCTATATGAAAGGGTGACTGTGTGTATGTGCATGTTGAGGGGTGATACCTGCAGTTTAATTTGCAGTTTAAGTGTAATTGTTACAGTGTGCTCGCCCTCAAGCAAGTTGCCCAGCTGTGTTTGATGTGAACTGTGTACAAAATGTAGATTGTAAAACAAAAGAAAGGCAAAGGAAATATGTGATCATGGTTATATACTGTACATTGATACTTCATGTCAAGAAGCGTTTAAAAACTGAAGAAACTGATTCAAACATGTTTAATAAAGATGGTTCTGAACTTGGTTACAGACAGAAAAAGCCTGTTACAGTAGAGTACATTTACATTATAAATAATAATAATAATAGGACTGCAAGTTAGATGTTTTATTTATCAAATAAGTGTTTTAAGTTGATTGTTTAGTCTGTAAAATGTCAGAAAATAGTACCAAAAATGCCATGAGCCCAAAGTCATGTCAGTCAATCATTCAAAACCCAAACATATTCAATTTACAATCAGTAAATCCAAAGAAATGCAGCAATAACCCTAGTTCTAAGTTCTTTAGCCAAGCCTCACTGTTGCTATTAAACCTACAGTTTAATAGTGGCACAATGATTTAGGACAGAAAACAAGCACCAGCATCAAAGGTGTCCGGTTATACTGAGCGGTTACTGAAAATAAACCCACTCCTGCCAGCCAATCAGAAACAAGACTCCTCAGTTGCCTGCCTCTGTTTACCTGTGAGTGATGTCGTTAAGTGTGCTGATATCACTAAGAGCACTGGAAAGAAGTAGTAGGAGTAGAAGTCTCATTACTGATAACAACGCCAGACCTCAGTGGTGTGTGTGTTTTTACTGACTTTGCGAGTGTGTGTTTTGTGTGTGTGTGTGTTCATTATTTCTGCGGACACAGTAAACTACATCTTCCCAGAAAGCTGCCAGCCCTTAATGAAGGCGAGAGCCTGGTTAGTCCAGTGCTACAGCTGGGACCCAGAGGAACTAGATTTGTTGGGTAGGAACCAAACATAGCCACCCCCAACTCCCCCCACCACTCCTCTCCCTCCTGTACCTCCCGCCTCCCCCAAAAGAAACAACATGACTGAGGCTGATTCATGCTGATGGATATGATTATTTTACCCATCTCCGTTGACTTTAATTTGTTAGGATACAGCTTTATATTATATGGCTGCCATGTAGTTTTGGGAAGAAATCAATGACATAGTGATGATTATTTTTAAGGGAGGAGAACAGTAAGTCAGTACGCTTACTAGCTGGAGGATGGGTCCACCACAGCAGAGTGGATTTGTTTTAGCCTCAGTAACATCACAGGGAGAGACATAGAATATAGTTTTTGCATTTGAGATTGTAAAATTCTTCCTAAAACTACACAATTTAAAACCATTATAGTTACTTTCATTTAGAGACCATTGTATTTTTTTTTTTTTATTTCAGAGGCTTTCAGTGGGCTTCTGATGTCACTGAAAGTAAAAGGTTTTGATTGGCTGGACTGGACTGCGCTTGTTGGGCATGAGCCTTTTCCTCCTCAAGCCAAGCATCATCCTGCTTCCCATGACTGCTGTTACTTTACTTCACCTTTAAGATCAGTTTTATGTCATCTCACAGTATTTTTTTTATTTTTATTTTTTTTGTGTGTAAAGAATTTCCATTGGTGGAAAGAGTTTGGTTACATTATACTGATCCATGTTACCTCAGGGTTTCATGGCAGGTCGGAAAGGTGTTTACATCATGTCCCATAAAATTTCAGCACTGTGAAACTTCAAGGCAACTGCAACTGAGCCTCAATAGATATTGGACTAATTGTGGTTTAATACCTTACAATCTTGTTTATACTCAGACTATTTTTCACAATAAAAGTTCTCCTCTCTGTTACCTTTAGGCTTTTCTTCATAAAACTGTAAATTATGAGATTTTAACTGTTTGAAACACCTATGAAACTTTAACACTATTTCTCTATAACATTAGAAACTGCACTTTATTAGGTATACCTGTGCAATCTAATGCAACTGTTCTGCCATAAATTCTACTTTTATTTCCCCAATAGTAAACATTATAGTGTTATACATAGGTTTACAGTTGAGGTGCAGAAAACAGTAAATAGTGTATCTATGTAGGACCCCCTCACTCATATTGAGACATCATTTTTTGAGCCTTTTTTTTTAGCAGATTTCCCAAAGGGATGATCAATGAATATAGTTCCTCTAATACCTCCACAGTGTGTATTTTATTCTGTTCTATTCTACTCTGAGTGACCCTATAAACCAATGGTCCTCAGGCTAGAGTACGTTCATCCTCCTCTCTTGTGTTGTTATCATGCCTTGTTTAAGTAAGGGCTGTGCAGCTTTCTCCTCCCACTCCTCAGCCCATTTCATCTGTCTTGTCACGTCATGCCAGGCCATGACATGCACTCTGAATGTCCCATCAAACTGCAGCACTGCCACAGCTTTCATTTCATTATGAAGCAACACTGCCACCAGCAGAACCACAATTCATACCTTGTACAATGCGCTTCTGGGACATGTGTCCTTCAATGTTCGTGATTCATATTTGTCCTTATTTGTAGAATTTAAGAAAAGACTTAATGAATTAATGCCACCGTTATTTCTGTTAATATCCCGAATATGTATAAATAACTACTATATGATATTTCTGTCATCATTTGTGTTTCAGATTTAATGTTGAATTAGTTGAGCTCTGGTGTAACTATTGATTTTCACAAAATTCCCACAATCACTGATTTGAGGAATAACTAAACTGTCTAAACTCCGATCAGATTCTACAGATATATGGTAAAGTAGAACTGTTTTGTTTTGGTTTACATGTTCCTAACCATATCTCCGTGACATGTACCTCACCAGGCCTGTGATAGTGGAGATCCCTCATTTTGGCTCGATGCGGGGCCAGGAGAGAGAGCTGATCCTGCTGCGCAGCGACAACGGAGAAACCTGGAAGGAGCATCTGTACGACTGTAAGACTGATGACCTCAACCAGCTCCTCAATGGGATGGATGAAGGTAAAGCCACATGTTCTGATTCTCTTTTTTTTTTCTTTTTTTTTTTCTTTAATTATTTGGTCAAAGTTTGGTCTTATAGTGGCACACTGGCAAGCTTAAATATGTAAAGACCTGTCATCCTGGGACTTAAAGGTGTTTTTAAAGCTGCTATGTGTCTATTGTTGTGTGATTATAGACTCTTGCAAATTATTGTGATGGCATAAGTTTTGATTTTCTGATGGCATAAAACACATGCGGTCTATGTACTGAATTGCTTTCAGCCTTTCATTCTTATTGGGTGAGATCTGAGAGGTGGAGGGCAGTGCATTGTTGGATCTTGAGTCCTTCACTTTGTAACCTCTACAACATTTTGAAGCATATATTAATATCAGCAAATGACTACTCAGCGTCTGATGTTATAGATACCAAAGTAAACCATTAGTGTCAAGCATTTACTGTTTTTTTGTTGTTTTTAGGGCCAATAACCTACAATTATGATAAATAATAATACCAATAACAATTCATAAAGCAGGTTTAAATGTTATGCCATTGTAAAATAAGTTAGTTAAGTAATTAAAGATAACTGGATAGCTGGAATTTTCTGGTTTCTGTTGTAGTATCTAGTAGTAGTATTGCAGTATTTAGATCCATCCATACTTTGTTTCTGTGTTAAGTAGCATTTAAGATAATAAATATATTTTCCTCTCCTGAAGAACTGGACAGTCCTGAGGAGCTGGAGAGGAAGAGGATCTGTCGCATCATCACCAAGGACTTCCCACAGTACTTTGCTGTAGTGTCAAGGATCAGACAGGAAACCAATCAGATGGGACCAGAAGGCGGGACTCTATGCAGCCGGAGCGTCCCATTGGTACAGGCCTCTTTTCCTGAGGGGGCGTTAACCAAGAAGATCAAAGTTGGACTGCAGGTGAGTTGGAATATACCAACTGTCAGAAAGTTGGTCTTTTAGATAAGTAGTGTTAACAGTAGTAGTTAGAAGTCATAGTAGCATGAGCATTAGTAGCAGATAGGTTGGCTGTAGTTGTTAGTAGTATTATTAACATTAGCATTAGCAGAGGTAGAAGTTAGTAGTCGTAGTAGCATTAGTCATATTATATTAGCATTGGTGGCAGTGGTAGTCAGTAGTTGCAGTAGTATTAGCATTAGCCTTTGTAACATCCTTAGTTCTTGCTGTAGCACCAGCAGTGAACATGAACTGTAGCAGTAGAAGTTGTGTTAGCAATTGGCATAAACACACATCACTCATTGACTGTTGCCTCTTCTCTACCAGGCCCAGCCAGTACCTGATGATACCGTGAAGAAAATCCTTGGTAACCGGGCAACCTTCAGCCCAATCGTTACCGTGGAGCCCAGGAGACGGAAGTTTCACAAACCCATCACCATGACAATCCCAGTCCCGCCCCTCTCAGGGGAGGGCCTTACCAACGGCTACAAAGGAGACTGTACTCCCTGCCTCCGCCTTCTCTGTAGCATTACAGGTGTGTGTGTGTGTGTGTGAGTACATTTCTGAAGATATGCTGAAGTGTTAAAGAGTTAAGAGTGAGGACATATTTGGAAAGTGAGGATATTTTGGCCAGTCTTTACGTCTTTCAAAGAGATGTTTCAAAGGTGATATTTCACCCTAATTTTGCACTAATTCTCTGGAATATACCTTATTTCAGTAGAGCTAGTCAAATCTTGCATGAAGCAGTAATGTCAGTGTCATATCACATACATATGTCATTCCATGTTTCCTGTACATTAGACATAGAAAAATTGATCACATTAAAAGAAAACCATAAGAATGTTTGATGTTACCTGTACCTGTATCTACCAGGTGGTACGTCCCCAGCACAGTGGGAAGACATCACAGGCACAACTCCTCTCACCTTCGTCAACGACTGCGTCTCCTTCACTACCAATGTTTCTGCCAGGTGAGTCACACGACAAGCAAGTGATTCTGACTGAGTCTGTTGTATTTGCTTTCGTGTCTGAAATGTTTATCATTCATCACTTGTGCAGGTTCTGGTTGGCAGACTGCCACCAGATCCCAGAGACGGTGGCTCTGGCCACACAGCTGTACAGGGAGCTGATCTGTGTGCCCTACATGGCCAAGTTTGTGGTGTTTGCAAAGATGAATGACCCAGTGGAGTCCAGACTGAGGTGCTTCTGTATGACGGACGACAAGGTGGATAAGACCCTGGAGCAGCAGGAGAACTTTGAGGAGGTGGCCAGGAGCAAGGACATAGAGGTACATATTTATGTGTGATTAATTATCTATTTAATATCTATTCTACTCCTGTCAAAATGCAAGGATGAGGGATATTGAAGCATGATGCAAAATTAATGCTAATGAAGCCCCCTCTTATGACAGTATTATTTTATATCAAAATGTTTCTCTCAATATTTATATGCAACCTATTTATTTTTTATACTTTTTTCACTCATTACCACTTCTTTCCATGGATAACTTGCAGAACAGTTTGAACAATTCTCATGCTTTTATCATCCACTGACCGGAGCTTTTTGGAAGCTGCTAGCATTTTTCAGAAACATTCATTTCAAACCTATTATATTTAAGCAATATTACTGCTCTGGATGTTCATGACACACCCATCTATCTTATTAAGTAATTAAATAAGTGAATAAATAGTGAATAAATGGGTAATGACTAAACTAAAGTTGAGCAATATAAAAGCTAGTGAAAGATAAATTAAAGTATAAAGTAAATTAATATTTATTTTATGAACTCAGCGGTGGTAAAGAAAAAATAAATAGAATGATTTTTGCTAGTAAAAAGCTTCATATTTCGTTTTTCAATTCATTATCAGCTAACAATAATATTGTATTATTTATTTACAATATTTAATATTAGTGTCAGGGCTCCATTCTGTTGAGGTTTAGAAGCAGATTTTAACCCTTTGTTCTTATCTAGCACACAACATCAAACCCCGCGTTACAGCCATGTGCTGCACCCATCCCCTATCATGAATGCTTGCTAATGCTAATTTTGCAACTTGCATTTAGTTGTTGACTTTGAATGCTGTTCTTACCCTGTCTATGTGCTCTCTCAGGTTCTGGAGGGCAGGCCCATCTATGTGGACTGCTATGGAAACTTGGCTCCTCTGGCCAAAGCTGGTCAGCAGTTAGTTCTTAACTTCTACGCCTTCAAGGAGAACCGCTTGCCCTTCTGCGTCAAGGTATTACAACATACACTCAATCATCACCATCCTGCTCTGGGTGGAATGTGGATGTGGATTTATAAATCAACATGGCAGAAAACTTACTGAAACCCACTAAGATAACCAAGGCGTCATAACAGAGTAGAGTAGGGAACAAGACACAATTCTGGACGTTATGTAAAGTCGTGACTGTTTTTGCTCTATTTGCCTTTGTTGCCCTACTCTTCCCACACTAGCTTTCAACACAATGAAAACCCAGTCCACAGGCTATGACCTAGTTCCCTTTGGCACTGCTACATAACCTCATTATTGATCGATCCCATTAACTTCATGTTACCCATAATCAATCCTCTTGCATCATTTGGTGCTCTGTTATTGTGAAAACTATCCTTCCTGTGTGTGAACTAGATCACTTTGTCAAAGCAAAACATTTCATTAGATGATGTGTCAAAACAAAATCACAGACATTTAGTCTTAGCAAGGCCTCATAGGCTTTTTGGTGGCATCTTTTTGAAATCAAGTTTTTATCCATATTATATCCTGCAAGTTTAATCTTACAATAGCAAATAATTTAAACACATTTCCAACAAATTTCCAAGCACTGCATTAAAATGTGGTTTTAATGTAACTCTATCATCGTCAATGCTACGTCACCTCTTGGTGCACCACTAACAACGGCTTCTTCTTCTATTCCCTACCACGCTGTACTTGAATATAATATTGTCATAAGTGGTAGTACCCCTATTTAATATGCAGTCCACAAATTTATAATATACATTATCTCTGCAAAAAAATGCTGAAAAATTAAATTAAATTACATTAAATTACTTTTAATATAAAGTATGCAGAAGCAAAAATAAAAGTAAAACACTATCATCAAAACATTATGAAAATAGTTCCTGATTATTTTCAGTGGATCAATTAATCAGCAGTGACTACCGCCTTATAAAGGCCTGAGGTACATAAAGAAGCAATCTTCTCTCTCCAGGTGAGAGACCCGAGCCAGGAGCCCTGCGGTCGTCTCACTTTCCTTAAAGAGTGTAAGACCATAAAAGGCCTTCCACAAACCGCCGTGTGCAACCTGAACATCACACTTCCTGCAGTGAAAAAGGTAAGGTAGCGTTGAACTCACCATTCTCTGTTGTCACCTCCATAACCATACTCATGGTTAGGGTAGTTTCGGCCCCAATAACAGTGATAGAAGAAAGACAGAGAAAGACTTTGGCCAAACTGCCGCCACTGTGTCTTTTATCTGTTTAAAGCTTTTCTCTATGTATATCGGTTATCTATGCAGTGGATTCTTTGTTCATTGGCTGTTTCATTATGTTCCTACCTATCTTTTGATTTGGATGACATGCTTTTGGCTGAGGGCTTTTGTGCTGAAGGCTTTTTTTGATTATCAGGCTGGCTTTTCGTGGCTTCAGTTTGCTGTTTTTGCTGCTGAGTGATGGCGCTTTATACTTTTTTCTTTCTTTTTTTTTTGGTTTTTGTTTGTTTGGTCTGTGTTTTTTTTTTGGTTTTTTTTTCATTTGCTGAGTTTGCTAAAGTGGCTTCTCTTCTCAGTTGGAGCTTCTGTCACTCACTCCTTTTTCACACCCTGATGTTTCTTTTCCCCCTGCTTTCCATGTTATGTTACTCCCCCCTCCGTTTCTGCAATGCATCTTGGGAACCAGGAAATGGAGTCAGATGCCGAGGATGAGGTAAACCACACCCTCCCCACCATGTGCTGTCCTCTGCGCTAGATCTATAGTGGCCCTGCTCTGCTCATCATAGCCTTCTTTCCGCTTCTACAAGGGCAATAAAAGCTTTCCTTGTTCAAAGCAACCTTTAGCTGCTCAGTTTTGCATGACATGACATTGTAGATATGAAAACATATCTGTTTTATCCTTATCCTTTGCGCTCTACAGTATGTGATATAAGTGGCTTTGGAGTTTAGATATACTTACATTGTTCTTTAGTCAAGATTTAACCTTATTAACATTAGCTTAAATTGATTATAAGTACTTATAAGGTAGAGTTTGTAGCCTTATCATGACTAACTCAAGCTAATGTGCTTAGCTTGGCAACACCTATTGTAAGCACCTAACTAAAGATTGCAGTGCAGTGATACTCCTTAAAGGAGAATTTGCTGCCATTTTATACAACTGTTTAAAATGGGCTTTGTTCTTATGTTAATACCAACTAATGCGAACTATTGGGTTTGCTTTAATTTGACATTATAAGGTCCAAATGTTGCTCATTTGGCAGCACTATACACTGTAGGGTGACCTAGAACTGATAGGATTTTGTGTTGTTTGCTATTGTTGCAGACTGAAAAGCCAGAGCGACGTCATACCTTTGCATCCCTAGCCTTACGTAAGCGCTACAGCTATCTGGCCGAGCCTGCACTGAGTGAGTTTGACATTTTCACTAACAAAACCCTTTGATGAATAATAACAATGCAAATTTTCGTGGATAAGTTAGTTTACAGTATTAACAGTTTTTAATTAACCTGTAAGATGCGTTATCAATATGTAGATAGATGTGACTTACTTACTGTAATAAATGCATATTTCTCATCCTACATAACTTGCACTGTCCACATGCTTGATAACAACATGGTACATATTTTTGCATGGGTCAATGAGTGGTTTTTAAGTTTTCGTGCTGTGCTTGCTCACGTTGTGAGTTGTACTTTTTCTGGGTTTGTTTCCACTGCTGAGTTGTAGATGTCCAAATACAGCAACATCAAAAATTTTTCTTTGACTTCCCAACACAATGTGAATTGGCATTTTGGAAGGAGGTCAAAGTAAAATTTTATTTGTTTTTCATTTGTCCCTTCTGAGTTTAAAGCTGTTTTTGGCTTTGTGATGATGTAGCAGCTTTTTTTGTGGGACAAAAATGCATGGTAGGAGGTCTTGAGTTTGAGCTCTTTCAGGTGTGTCTTTTCAGTTTTTTCTCACTCTCTGCTTGTCACCACTTCTTGTCGACCTTGCATGACAAAATGGGAAACACATTTTGTCATATTTTGTTCGTTATGTAATAAACGGAAAATGGAAACTTCTGCAGCCCATGGCTCTATTGTATCATAGTGTCTTTGGGGAATCTGTCATTATGTAATTTTTGGACCAAACAGATAAAAGGCACTTTAAAAAGCGGATTGAAATTAGAGCCAGAATCCATACAATGTTTTAGAACATCTAAAGTCCAAAGAGAAAAGTTGTTTTGTGTTACTCCTGGAGCATTTGTCTCGCCATTTTTCTGTTGTCAGTTATTAGTCTACGCCATTGTCTCTGAAATTTTACTTTGCTGCTGAATGTGCTTCATTCAGTTTATTCATTACATTGTTGTTGCTGTTGTTGTTCTTTGTGTCATCTTCCAATCTTGAATCACACGGAAACACAATTGTTTCTTTTCATCCATCTTCAGACAATATTCAAATATCTTATCTCAGCACTTCGTAAAACTGCTGTTTTCCTTCTTTGATACCAGGACTGCGTCACTGACCAACTCTTCCTCCTCTGATCTCTTTTCTTTCACATTTTTTTTTCTTCCTTTCCCTTCCCCAACATAATTTTATGTTACCTTTACTACTCCACATTCTTTGGATTATTTTTCCCATTCCTTCTTCACCATTATTTCTACAAATTCATCTGAAGAAACAGCAGTTGAGCGAAGCACAGCAGCAAGAACACTGCCTGCTGGTTACCCTCACAAACCTGTCTTTCCAACCAGACCTTACCCACCATGGTCGACTGCTCCTATTACCGTCCCTGGCCAAACAAGGCCAGGAGTGGGGGGTTCCGTCGCCTCTACCGATTCACCGGCAGGCTCACCAGCTGCTTCTCCATTGAAATCTACCTGGCCCCTCTCCTCCCCGTCACCTGCATGCTCTGCAACTATCAAAGCCACCCTTGGAGCTCCACCACCAGTACCTACCCTGTCATCCCCAGTTAAATCAATTAGCGACATAGTGTCCTCATCCCCCATCAGGTCTTACAGGACTATGCCTTCACCCATTAAAACCGTTGTCCAGCAGGGTCAATACCCTGTCCAGGCATCTGCCAGCCTTGTGTCCTCTGGAAGCCCATGTAAACCTGCCACAGATCCAGCATCCATCAAGAACCTTGCTTCGGCATACACATCAAGGACTTCCCCACTTCACTCAATATCCAATGGTCCTGTGCCAGAGAGGTCATCAGCTCCTATTACTGCTCCCGCATCGCCAAAGACACCTTACAACATGTACAATGCTAATCTGCCTTTTAAAACTGCCCTTGGGTCCACAGTTGTGACAGATGCAGTGGCACCTAACCTTCCTTCTGGTAAAAGCATATCCAGCCTGTCCTCTTTGAAAACCTCTGTAGATTCAACACTCTCATCCCGAGGAGGGAGAACATCCCTTTCGTCTCTCTCTTCAACTGGGCAGACAACCATTGCCTCCTCAGAACTGTCCATGATGAACGGATCAGTATCGCCTGTCAAATATCCATCCTCTTCGTCCACGCCATCCTCCCCTTCTTCTCGTCTTATCTCTGAGAGGAGTAGCAGCCTTCAGGAGAGGATTCAGGCTACCACCCAAGCAGCAACATCTGGTGTCAGTGCAGCCATAAATGAAGCTATAGACTCATACTCAGTCTCGGGCTACGGCACTCTTAAAACACAGTCCTCCTCACGTAGATCTGCAACAGCAAGCTCTGCTTACGGTTCCATGAGATCTGTAGTTGCTTCCCCCAGTTCAGCAGTTTCATCTAATACGGTGACTGTACCTGTGTACTCATTAGTAAACGTCATCCCAGAGACCCCTGTCAAACCAGGGCCAGGGTCTCTCAAAATGGCACTGCCTGATTCCCCTCGTCCCTCATCCTCGTCATCTTCCTCTCTGTCTTCCTGTGTTACCACATCAAAAATAAATTCCCAATTGAAATCCCCCCCGTTTATCACACCGCCTATTATCCACCCAACAGCAGCCTCCAACCAGGAAATACTAAAAGATGTAGCAGACATGAAAGAGGATCTGATCAGAATGTCAGCAATCCTACAGACAGACACACAGACAGCAGCCAAAACTGTCCAAACATCAAATACTGGCACTCCCAAAGAGACCAAGTTAGAGGATGAAGAGCCATTTACTCTTGTTGAGAAAGTGAAAGAAGATTTAGTGAAAGTCAGTGAAATATTACAGAAAGATATCATGAGTGAAGGTAAGGCTATTGCAGGTAAAGAGAGACCCTCAGAGGATGAATGGGAGGAATTTTCCAAAGATGAGATTGAGGAGGCACAAAGAAGTACCCTCACAGACTATTACCCACTGTTTGATGAAAACACGCTCCTTCTCAAGCACCAATCCATGTCAAGCAAAGACCTAGAGTTAGCTAAAGTAGTAGACTTTTTAACAAATGACTTTGGCGCTAATTCTCTCTCCAAAATGACAGAGTTGAAATGTAAGTATGAGGAGGCGACAAAAAGTGAAGGGGAGGAAAAACAAAAACGTGTTCTTAAACCATCTATGTCGATACAAGAGCACAAACTCAAAATGCCTCCACCAGTCTCAGGCATGCTCAGGTCTCCCTCAGAGAAGGACCTAAGCAAACTTGCTGAGTCATATCAGGGGTCTGAGACTATTTTGGAATCACCCGAGGACCTGTCTCATGAGCAGGATAAAAGTCCGCTGTCAGACAGCGGGTTTGAGACCAGGAGTGAAAAGACACCCTCTGCTCCTCAGAGTGCAGAGAGCACAGGACCTAAGCCCTTATTCACAGATTCACCCATCCCTCCCTGCGTGACTGAGACCAGGACTGAAGTGGTCCACATTAGGAGCTATGAGCAGCCTGACGATCCTTGTGAGCCTCTCCTGATGGAGGAGGCAGCATCTGCCCCTCCTTCTATAGAGCCAGATCCCGCTTCAATAAGCTCTACCAAAGCCCTACAGATGAAAATGCCAGAAGAGGACTCCATGATGAACAAAAGCGTGTGTCTTAAAGAGGAAACCCATATCACTACTACCACTAGAATGGTGTATCACAAGCCACAACTGACTGATGGCGCAGAGATTAGAGAGGAGGGTATGTCGGTCAGTGATATCATGAAAGCTTTCCAGTCAGGTAGGGACCCATCTAAAGAACTGGCAGGCCTTTTTGAACACAAGGCTAGCCAGGATTCTGTCAAAGGTGATGAGCTGACTCCTAGATTTCTAGATAGAGACATTAAATCCAAACCTAAAGTCGAGAGGATAATTGAGGTTCATATCGAAAAGGGCCACAGCACAACAGAGCCAACTGAGGTTATTATCAGGGAAACCAAAAAACACCCTGAGCTTTACGTCTACAAGGGGGACCGTGGAATTAGGGAACTTACTGATTACGATGAGGCCCAACAGGAAGAAGAGGAGCTCACTGCCGAAGAATCCCTGCCCTCCTTCCTGGAAACATCTCGCGTTAACACCCCAGTGTCACAGGAGGAAGACAGTCGCCCAAGTTCTGCTCAATTGATGGCAGATGATTCATATAAAGCCCTGAAACTGTTGAGCCAGCACTCTATAGAGTACTGTGATGATGAGCTGTCAGAGATCAGAGGCGAGTCGTATAGGTTTGCTGAGAAAATGCTACTGTCAGAGAAACTTGATGTGTCTTCAATGTCTCACTCTGACACAGAGGATTCAGCAATGATGACTGACAAGAGCCGGCACCTAATTCATGAGGAGAATGGTAGCCGTGGCGCTGAGAGCATGAGTCAGCAGCAAGGAAGCCCCAAAAGAGAGTTTGTCTCCAAGTCATCAAAAGATGGGTCCCCTAAATCTGGTAAATTCTTGCACAGGGAGGAACCATCTCCGTTTGATAAAGTAACAGTGCTCCATTACTCCACAGATCAGGGCAGCCCCAAGCATGCCGTTTGGATGCGATTTACAGAGGATAAACATGACAGAAGCAGGGATAAGCTCCTTTATGAGGATAGGGTGGACCAAACTGTAAAGGAAGCTGAAGAAAAACTCTGTGAGGTATCTCAGTTCTTCCGTGACAAAACAGAGAAGCTCAATGATGAGCTGCAGTCCCCTGAGAAAAAGCCAATGAGACGAGAGGTAAAGGAACCCAGATCCTGGCCTAGCTCAGCATGCAGTAGCCCTGAGAAAACTCAGCAGAAATCTAAGGCAGGAGAAGAGGTGTTCAGTAAAAGCAAACTCAGGGAGCCTTCGGTTGTTAAAATGTTTGGGAGCACCCCAACAACTGAAAAGAAAAGCTGTAGCTTACCAAGCAGCCCCCAGAAGAGCGTTCTCTCTCATACCAGTGACGATAAAATTAAACAACAAACTAAGACAAGTGAATCTGCACCCTCTTCTCCTGCTCATGTAAAATCAACATCCAAAGTCAGTGCTGTGAGGATGAAGTTTGAATCTGAGGCTCAGAAACAAAGTC